TAGCTTTACACCGAATTCAATGCAGTTAAAACTCACAGAAATAATTTCAATGTCATACTTTTCACTAATTTCTTCTAAATCTCTTCTCAGTTTTGAAGTGAGCTTTTTTCCCATTAATTCTCTGTAAACTCTTTCGTCAAAGTTAAAATATTGCTGTATGAGTAAATGCTTTACGCTGGGAGCAACTTGGAGAATTGTGTTGCAGCTCATGAATAATAATGGGTTTTGTAAATATGGTTGAAAATCGTTAAATATCCTGTACTGATAGGCTACTTCATTGGTAATGAGCCGGTAATAACTATCAACGAAGAAGGAATATTTTGAAAAATATTCCATGTGTGATGATCGCTGTTTTTCAAGTAAATATTTTGATGTCGTTTCAATGGACAGTCCTTGCAACCATTTCACAAATACACTCTGATTAATAAGTGGACAATCACTTATAAACACCTCAGAATTTGAAATTAATTCAGATCCACCCTGATTAATGATGGTCACTCCGAGAGGAGTGTTTGCCGCACTGCTACTATTTGAATTGTAATAAGGTTTTCCCGAATAGTTTTTATAATTTTCAAAAAATATAGTTTCATGTGGGAGAGAAGAGGGCATCGTGATAGGTGTTACATTGTAGGTGTTCGCATTGCTGATTGAGTTGATGTTGTATTCCTTGGCTGATGATGAGAGTGGAACTGGATTTTGACTCATTTTTTATTTGTTAGAATTGATCAGTTTGGAAATGTTGCGTTTGATTGAGCTAGGCTTTGAAAAGGTCTTCAAAATTTTGTGTTTAATAATATTATTATTATTATGTAATAATTATAAATGATAGATTTACAAATGATTTTAGCGGTATTTGCCGTGTTGTTGCTTGTACCAAAAAGGGAGAAAACTTAGTATACCTAACAAAAAAATTATTGATCCTCGTTTTCAGTCATTTTAACTCTCTTTTCTTCAGGAGATGCGTAATCAATTTCAAATTTGGTTTCGCTCTCTCTCTTGAGTGGATTCTCATGATCTTGAACTGCCTCAGATGCTGCTGCTGCTGGCTTTGGTGGTTTCACTTTCTTTGCACCAACCTTGGGAGTTGGCATCGTCTGACGACGACTCTCCTGCTCCTGTAGAAGGAGAAGATGAGTTCCATGTTGCAGTTGAGCTTGAAGCTTCAGCGTTGACATGAATTTTAACAGAAGTAATCTTGTCCTTCTTCTTGGATGATGAAGTGGTGAGTGAATTGGACTTTTCAGACTTCTTTGATTCAGTGGATTCCTTCTTTTCTTTTGGTTCCTTCTTTTCCTTGGGTTCTTTTGGTTCCTTTGGTTCCTTCTTTTCTTTTGGAGCCTTAGTATTTTCGGTATTTTGGTCTCTTGGAGCCTTGGTCTTTGGTTTTGGTGGTTCGACCTCTCTAACGTTTTCTTCCCAGAAATCGTCTTGTGTAACATATGGATCCTTCACAACAGTCATTGGCTTCCTTTCAGGTTTCTTTTCCTCAAGGGTCTTCTTTTCTTCTTTTGGTGAAGCATCAGACTCGACCTCGGCTTGAGATTCACTACTCTCAGACTTCTTGGAAGCCTTTTCCTTCTTTCCATTCTTCTCCTCGTTTTGAGTTGGCTTTTTGGTTGTCTTGTCAGTCTTTGTCTCAGTTGATTCCTTCTTTTCCTTCTTGTCAGACTTTTCTGGAGCCTTTTCAGTGGTGGCTGATGATGCCTTCTTCTTTTTACCACCTTCTTCTTCGGAAGCAGCTGTTGCTTCTTCCTTCTTCTCTCCACCGACGCCTGGTGGCTTGGCAGAATCGTCATTAACAAGCTTTCTAAAGATGGACTTGTTCTTCTTCTTTTCGTCCTTCTTCTTGTCCTTCTTATCATTGACCTTCTTTTCTTCCTTCTTACGACCAGTCAATTCTGGCTTCTTGACTAAAAGGAAACCCTCAGATTGGGTGGTATCGACATCTTCGGATGGTTGTTGTGCTTGTTCCTCTTTTTCTTCTTGTTGCTTCTTGGAAGGCTTGATCTTCTTTTCTTGGGTTGGTACAGGCTTCTTCTTCTTGTTCAATCCATACATTTCAGCAATGTCAATTTCGGTGAGTTTAGCATTGGATGCTTGCTCAATTTCATCCTCGTTGACTACTAGCTTGGGCAGCTTCTTCTTTTCCGTTTTCTTCTTTTTTGACTCTAAAGGCTTGCTGAGTAAATCGGCCTTGTTTTCATAGGTTCCTAAAGATGTTGTTGTTGAAATATGATGAAATCAGGAAATAAATGGTTGATGATATATATGGTGTCGATGATGATAAAATCCATTCAATAATAACAACAATGATTAGAATAATAATAATCATCAAAAGGTATTAGGAATAAAGATTTTACCCGAAGGAAAGAAATTATTGAACACGGATCATCATCATTATCCATGTTGAACAAGAATTGAACATGATGATATCATAAATATTGGACGGTCATATTGATGATGATGATGATTTTAAATTAAACAACCTCACTATTACAATAAAGAAACATACTCGTATTACTAGTACCCAAAAAGAAGAATACAACTGCAGCAAGAGCAACAGGCACCAACAAATAAAGCAGCATTGTTTGCTATAGAGCGTCTTGGAAATAATCGGTCGCAGATCTAAAGTCAAGCACGAGGATTGGATGATTCACACACGTGTTATCTTTTTTAATAGAAAAAACAGGGGAAAGTTCTATCCTCTTGTCTTGATTTTTTTAAAAATTGTAATAAACTTTCAAACAAACTCTTTTACTGGTGCTTGACTCATTGAGTTTGCAGGATCAATGTTTTGTTAATTTTGTTCAAAGTGTTGATATAAAGGGTGGCTCTTTACTGGTCTTCTTCCTCAGACAATTCGACAGCTTCCTGTGCTGCCTTTTCTCGTTTCTCTCTGTCAATTCTCGCAATTTCTTGCTTAATCTTAAATGCCATCTTTGGATTTGGTTTCAAATGAGCTTCAGTGATACGTTTTTCGGTGCAGCCAGCAACAGGACAATCAAAAAAACCGTATCTTCTAATTCGCGTCATAGCCTCTGTCTTTTCATAAAAGTGATGACAACGAATGCACTCTATTGGGTCTACAAAGTAAGATCTTGTCCATGGGCATGTCACGACCAGGGTTTGTTGTGTGAGCATGATTTCATCATCTTCACCTGGAGCCTTATTCCAATCTAACTCGCCAGTCGGATCATGCACTCGTAGAACTTCCAATCTAAACGTTTGATACATTTCTTCTTGTTTGATGCTTTCGTCGTCATATGGTTTTGCAGTATTCGCTTTTACTAATCTGTCATATGTTTCTTCTAATTTTGAATAGTCCTGTGTTTATATTACAGAGGCAGCAGTTTATGCATGAATCATTTTGGAAGGTGAGTGAGAATGAAGAATATATTTCATGTGAATTAATTTTGATGAGATGATGGCAATTCATCGGAATTATTAATTCAAACACAAATTTTGAAGGGTCATCAAATGATATTTTCAGCGCATCCAAATCATGAATTCAAGTAGTAGCATTCAAAATTATTATTATGTGGTGTAAATTCATTGTTATTATTGAAAAATAATAATAATTAGAATTGATAAAGAATCATTCATATTTGAAAACTTACGCTAGTATTGCTATCAACAATTTGTTGAAGTGTTTTCGTATGCCCTTCAGAAATTCTCAACATGTCCAAATATTCTCTCACACATCCATCCAATTGCTGAATATGATCCTGTAATGATGCATATTCGGGATCACCCGGTAGATGTAAACCCTCAATTTCCTTTGCTAATTCTGTTATATTTCCGATGTAGCCATACACAGTTTCTGTTTGCTTGTTATGATTGATGATCAATGGTTCAAGTGTTTGTTTTAAAAGAGAATTTCCTGATGATGATGATGACGATCGGTAATACATGATGGTTCAATTTCTTATTCAATTTTTTTTTGTTTTTGCCTTCAATCAGCTCAGAAGCTGTCCCACAAATACTTAGATTGCTCTGAGCATTCATCGAACTATTTTTGCGTCACAACTCTAAACACTCAAACTGCCTAGTCTTATCGTATCGTTCTTTCATGTCGTTTCGATCGACTTCAAATAATGAGGCGCCAGTACCATTATTAAAAGGAATACATTCAATGATGATAATCTTTTTGCTTGGCTGCAAAATGTCAAAATCCATAATCACTATTGAAATACATGAAATGACCAACTTTTAGCATTTGCAAGAAATCGCCAAACTTACCATTCCACTTGGATATGACCAAAGTTGATTGTTTGGATTTGCATTAGAGTAAAGGTTTCACAGTGGTATGGTAATATCGCAAAATTGACGAAGAAATTTCGTCCTTTTTGTCAATGAGCTCCTGAACCAAGCATGTGTTGTCGTACTGACATAATGCAATGAGTTCAAAATTATGAACAAAACCTCTAATTTCATATTCATAGGTAATTTCTGGATACCATTCTCTCAATATTAATTTCATGTTAAAAACTTCAGGAAATTCTAATGCTCTTGCCAAGTCTTGCAAAACTCTCTCCGAATTCGTCAATACATCAATCACTTGGTGTTCATTCTCAACAGCAAGTGCTTGTTGAGAACATTGTATGAATGATAAATATTCTTCACTATGGCTCATGACATTTGTCATGTAATTTTCAAAATACTAAGTTTCTGTATTCAAGATATAATCTCTTGGAATTTGTGTGCTTGTTAATTGACCTTTTCGTTCCTTGAATTTCAAATAACTTGCAATCCATTTCTTTTAGACTTCTTTGCATTGAGATTGAGATAACTGACTTGATCATTGATGGGAACGTGTGGTAAAACAATATTCAATAATTCATACATTAACAACGGATATTAAAGCACTTGTTAGGCTTTGGACCATCCAACTATAATACTTTTAATCGCTTCATTAGAACTGTTCGACATATGTCGCGTTAAACCAATCAAACTGGAAGAAGTTCTTGGAGCAACTGATCTTGAAAAGTGACACTAGTATCGATCCTTTTAAATTTTGAATGGTTTGACTTGGATTCATTACGATGTTGAAGATATCTTTCTGTCTTTAAGAACTTTACGGTAAGATGTATTCTCTTGAGGACAGAGTGCGTTATTAATTCAATGGGTTCACCTATTCAAGAAGAGCAGTCGATCATCCTGTGTCCTGATGATATGGTCACATGTTCGAAGTTGTTCTTTTTATGCACAATAAGATCGCATTAATAACCATCATTATATGAAACACAACTTTATTACTCCACGCTCAAAGAAGTGCACAAACGTGTTCTGAGGCTTAATTTTTCTAGCAATTAAAGAACAAGCTTTTCGTGCTCTTGAGAAATTGGTTCTTTGATACCAAGGCCAGCTTTGAGATAGGAGGTAATTAGGCTCATCATGGATCCTTGTTTGAGATCCCAATATTCTATGTTGTTCGTTGTTTGAGATGAAAATAAATTGTGGTGGTTGTTTCATATTCAGCGCAACAAATGTCAACAAAATAAATTTCAAACATACCTGCATGATGAATGTCACACACCAAGAGACACAAATTGGGATCATTGACGCCCTTTGGGAAGTAAATTTCACAATAAGGATTCCATAACTCTTTCATGAGCTCCCTATTTGAATCATCAATGTAACATGTGCATGAAAGAGAAACATAGGTGTGATTGCTTGGATCCGAAAAAGAGAGGTTGATCTCGTGATTTCCCTGAATTTCCTTATTTTTCCATGAATCTATAGTAGTGACATGAATAATAGTCGTTTTCATGATCGTCATGGCGTCATTTGTCGAACACACAGAAGAGTGAGAGGAACATTGTTGAAAAAACGTAATTCCCAACCTACCCTTTGATGAGAACAAGTACAACTTTTGCTCAGCCAGGGCATCTTCTTTCCACAAGACATTCATTGGTCTTGAATGAATGTACTTTTCTCCAAGCTTGCTTGTGGTGGTAGTAGCAAGCATGCAATACTTGATATCTTTGATGAGACTCTTGAGTTTTTCAATGGATTGTTCAGGCATTTTGTTGTTATTGTTGGGTGACTCTAGAGAGGTAGTTGTGTGGAATATTGAAAAACGTTTGCAATTTCCTTTTGTGGCCATGCCAAAAGCGAGAATACTTGGAGATTCCATTTGGTTATTTCTCAAATGTGTTCTGAGAATAAATTTAGAAATCTTCTGTTTTGGGGTTTTCAATGATGTACCAGAGAGTAATGATGAGGAGGATGAATGAAGATTTAACCCCCATTACACCTCAAACTGCAAATCCTTCTACTCCTAGAGTGGAAAAACTAGACAATATTCATTCCATTAGGAGGATCTGTTTCAGAAACTTACAAACACCTTACCTTAAACGTTTAATTTGCTTGTTTCTAAGAGGAACAATCATAATACAGTGTTGAATATTGTTGTTAATATTGGGTCAATCTTTGAGAAACCATCACATTAAAAGGTGATGATTGATACATGTTCTTCTGAAGTCAATACTTCCTTAATAAATTGGGATTGTGTGGGATGAGGCACACAGAGAATGAGGAATGAACTCTGGCTGATTTCGTGGGCACTCAAATTCTTCTTGCAAGTTAGCGTCTTTTTGAACGGCTTCTTCTTTTGACTGTCGTTTCTTCCTCTTCATTTGTGTCCTCTGCATTGGTTAGACTTGTGATCGTGTTATTTTCTTCCTCCTCAACTGTTTGTTCCTTATCGTCCTCGCTATCAAACAGCTCTAAATCAGAACCAATATCCTTGTCGCTCTCGCCATCGCTTTCTAGCAATTCATTGATGGCCTCATCGTCATCATCATCTTCATCTGAAAATTCAATTTCTTCCTCTTCATCGTCATTAACCGTTTTTCGACCTTTCTTAGATTTGGATTTCTTAGTGGAGGCTGACTTTTTACCTCTTCGTTTGATGACTTTTTTACCACTTCGAGTATTTTCACTAGCGGATGCATCGTCATTGTCATCTTCGTTTTCATCGTCATCGCTCTCTAAAAGCTTTGATTTCACACCACTCTCTTCACACAGCTTGAGATGAGTTTGTCGAATTTGCTTCTCCCATTCTTCAATAGCATCTTTGAGCTCCGGGCTTAATACTCCTACTTCGCTGTTGGCTTTCTTTCCAACCTTAGTGGATGCCGTCTTTTTGAATTTGGCTGTAATAGAGGATAGCATGTCGTAGACTTCAAAGTCGATGAGAGCTTTCTTGTAGGATTTTACACAATTTTCAGAAATCATAATTTGAATGCACTTGTCATTCATGGACAGTTGAGTAAGACAGAAGGCAAGATTTCTCCATTGCTGAATAATCTCTTCGTCGTGATCAAATTTCGTATCACCCTCAACAACTGCTTCTGGTTGAGAAGTAATATCCAATTCTTGCAATATATCTTCCTCTTGTATTGTTTTTTCATAAACTTCATCATTTGTATGAATAGAAGATGAAATCTTGACCAAATCAAACCTTCGACATAATTTTTCAACAAGTTTTTCCTTGTGGAGGACTTTCTTGACAAAGGAAAGTAGAAACTCCATAATATTTTGGAAAGCGGTTGGAGTAATATTCGCACTCTTTTGGGACAAGTTACTGAGGATGGTTGGCAATAGATTGTAAATGGGATTGTTGTTTCCTGATGCCTTTTCGGCCAATTTTGTGAAGAAGGCTTTCGACAGCTGAGAAATTTCATCGTTGGTATCCACAATACATCTCACAATTTCAAAAATGTTTGCCTTCACCTTGATCATATCATTGAGGACGAGATGTGAAAGCACTAGAAGGGTATTCTTTCGTACTCTTTGGTCTGTATCTCTAAGGCAACTATACAAGTGATGTATATATCGCTCGACGAAATTTGGAAATCGGCATGCAAGATCGCCAATAGTCACAATGATATTATTTCTAATTGTTGCATAGCCATCAATGGACGATTTGGAGTGCATTTCTTTTGGTAATTTGACCAGGATGGTAAAGAGAAGTTGTAACTGTTGCTCGCACACAGTTTGACTAACACACATGTATTTACAAAGAGCCAGTATTGCGCTTCTCCTGAGAACAGAGTATTTGTAAATGTTTGTGTTGTCACAACAGATATTGAGAATAAGTGGAAGATAGGATCCATAGAGTGATGATTCTGTGATAATGTTGTTTTCTTTTTCCTTAAAAGACTCTTCCAGAGCGTGAATGTCCATATTGTCCAATCCCAGCTCTTTCTCGATGACGGTGGTGTTGGAGTCTTCTTCCTCGTCGTCCATCTCTGATAGGTCTCTCTTCTTTTTAGATGATTTTTTGGAGGATGATGAGGACTTCTTTGAGGAAGTATTTTGTTGTTTTTCAATGCTAGCTGCCTTGTTCAACCCCTTTGCTTTCTTGAATTGACGTTCTAAACATACTAATTCTTGAATGACGCAAGTGCCAAGAATGAAGAAAAGCTTGGTAAGCTCGACAGGAGCAACGCTCAATTGAGAGTTTGCTTCATTGTTGTTTCCTGACAAGTTTGTATTCAGAGAGACTTGTTTGATAATGTGAGTTGAGAGCTGTTCTGGATTCATGCATAATGCATAGATGGTGGTGATGGCTGATTCTGTGAGGATCATCCACTCATAAATTGGAAACTTTTGTTCCTTATCGATTGAGTACTCTAAAAGTATTTCAAATAATTTGTGATCATCGGTTAGCTTAAAGTTGTCATTACCTCCTGCATATCGTAGCATGTCCTCATTATCAACGGTTGTTGATGATGATTTTGATTTCTTTTTTTCCTCAGCCTTATAGGCATCGCTCGAATCATCAATGGCCATCTTTTGAAATATTTTGCATGCATAGTGAGCAATGAGGAAACCTTGCTTTTCAGTTCTCCCGAAGCAATTATTAATGAGAGCTTTGATCTTTTTTCTCAGTGCTTCTGGTCTTGCGGTTGCTATCATGTTAAGTAAAATTAAAGCTCCAATACAATGTTGTTCAGAGTATTTTGGAGAAATAATTTCCAAAAGTGACAAGAAAAGATTCTTAGAAAACTCATTCTTGAGGACTAGCATGTTCACAATACACTCTAGAGCTGACAACTCAGACTGGCTGCATTCTGTGACAAACTCGGCGAACTGTTTTGCAACTTCAATACATTCTTCTGCATTCCTACTGAGTCTTTCAGTATTCATAAATATGTGTTGAATTGCCTCAGAAGCTGCATCCTTAATGGATTGGTATGGTGACCACACCAGCTTTAGTACTTTCTTCAAGCCAAATGATGAGATCTCTATTCTGAACATGTAACACTTTACCAGATAGTCAATGCACTCCACTACATCAGTAATTGTTTCAGAGCTCAGTAATTGGCAAACGGATGGTAGAGTATCATGAACCTTGCTGATAAAATCCGCTCCTTCCTTGTAGAATAGGTACAATTTAAACGCATTGTCACGTGTCAAGCGAATTTCTTTTTGTTCGAGGTCTGGTAAATTCTCCAATTCTTCCTCTGTGTGTTTTGGTAAGCTATCTACAATTCGTTTGGCTGCTGTAGCTTCTTCAGTAAACTTGGCTAATTTCAAATCGGCTCCATATGGATTACTTTCAAGAAGAGTTGATAAAAAGTGAATTGCAGATTTTCGGACCGATGACGTCTTGTCATACAACCGACCGAGCACTGTTTCTAAAATTTTGGGAAGAATTTTTAGGGGAATAGATTTCTCCTCACACAAATAACACCAACACTGTATGGCCTTGCTTCGTGTGTATGCGTTAACATCGTGTACTCTCTCTTCGAGAATGGTGAGAAGTTGGTCTCTTGTTTTCTTTGTAAGATTCTCCGAGGTAGTATTTCTACTGTTATTCTCGTCAGAGGTTTGCTTAAGTACAGTTGGAATGACTCTTGATATGGCATGGATGATTGCATTTCTAATGTTATACGACTCGTCATTGAGGTGAGAAATTACAACACTCATATTTGACAAAATTGCTGTTGGAACTTTCTCACCAATGGTAGAAATGAATTGTGAGAGAAATTTGGTTCCAGGGGTATCATTGTTCAACTCTAAGCTACCAATTTCTCTGAAAAGTTCGCTCACAAACAGTTTTTCAACTGTACTACAGCTATCATTTGTGGCACGTGATGTATTCTTTCCAATATGGTCTATTAATTCTACAACTATGTTTGTCATTTGCTCATCATTCATAATCATGTGCAGTATTGAGGATACCACAGTTTGTAAATTGTCTGAAGGTATTTGAAGAGCATTGGTAATTAGTTTAAAAATTGATTCCTTGATTAAGGTTGATTTGATGTTATCATGGTTTTCCATCAAGGAAAAGGATATTTTGAAGAATAGGAGTGTAAAGGCATCTTCGACTCGATCTTTTTTCCAAAGTTTTGGAAGGTCATCACGTTTGAGAACAGAGCATAGAGTATGTAAAATTCCTTCTTTCCAGCTGTCTAATTCAATTATACTTTTCCTTCGAGCCTTGGTTCCTCTTTTCTTTTTTGTTTTGCTCAGTTCTTCGTCTTTTTTGGATTTGACATATTCTACCTCTTCTTTTTCGTATTTTGATATCACCCAATACAATAAAAAGATGAACATTTTGAGTGCATTCTTGTGAATACTAATGACGTGATCTAAATTATTACCGGACTCTACTCCAGGTGAGAGCAGTTTACTAATACTTGCCAGTAGCAACACCAGATTATTGTTTAAACTATCTACAAGCCTAATTTTCTGGTTATCTTCCAATGATGAAAAGCGTTTTACACAAGTGTAGATCTTGCTGAACAAGTCCTTGTTCGTTATTGAATAGGCCTTATCGGAAAGTTTGTTCTCAATTTCTACACGATTTGAAAAATACCAAATTCAACGGTGGTAATGAAATTATCAATGATAATAATACCATCATCATGTGTCGGTATGAACAAATTTCAATTGGCCACAATCATTTCCTATCGGCTAGGAGCAAGCACAACCCAGACACTAAAACTTACCATCCAGTATTGAATCCAGCTCCGAACGTTCCACTTCAACATCATCCACACAAAAGTACTTGTCGGATTCCTTCTCAAGATCAGTCGGTTCCAGAGGAATTTCAAAGTTGGTTGTGAATTCGGTGGTATGGCTGTTGTGTTGAAGCATGGCGAATTTTTTTGTTTTTTGAATTTTGAAAATTTGAATGGCGCCATCGATCAACTCTTGCGTGCAGAAGTCATCATCAACCAACAGGTTTGCAAAATGGGATTTAATTCTTCCAGAAAAAAAAAAGCTGTTGAAACCCGCTTGGTTGACCACCAATGCAGCAAGTTCCTTTTTGAATTAACAAGATAAAGATCACAGCAGAGGATTAAAAACATCTTCAACAACAACAACAACATACTAGTCGAGAGAAATTGAAGAACAATTTTAACTTCTAAAGACCAAAAAAAAGCAGCCGTCCTCATCGATCAGTACTATCGATACTACTCTAAAGACATAATGCAATTCCTTGTGACTAGTAGTACTGTTGAACAGCTTCTTAAAACAGGTGTATTGGCTCTTCTTGTCATCTTTGCGTTTTGTTTCGCCTTCAAAATTTTCCATTCCAAAGAACCTTTTAAACAATTTTCGATCGACAAGAACATCAAAATGGTCCAACCTCAACCGCATCATAACAACTATGAAGAACATGAAGGGGTGGCTAATCCGCGAGCAGAATATTTGACTGAATATCAACCAAGCGCCTATCAAACGTCCAAAGACCATCACGAAAATAATATTTGTGGATTGCCAAGGGGAATTAACAGCCATCATGATACAGTCCTCAATCACCATGAAAAGCAGTTGATCATTTCGCAATTTTGGGACAAGTTTCATCAGAACATTGTCGAACAAGCGAGAAAAAAACAATAACTTCCATGCCTAAAAAAAGAAACTTGGTGTTTCCTAACATGTACTAGTAATTGTATCGTTTGTTTCGAAACTGCACAAAGAGTGACCTCATATTCCTGCTTTGCTATAGTTGGTGTAATGAATTGTAACGCTTATGTATTCCAATGCTTATGTATTCCAAATGAACAAAATAAATTGTGAACGTTAATGTCTCTTGTATCAATATCGACCTTAGAGACTGCATTTTGGTGTTTCAAGTTCTCTCTTCAACATTTGGTTATTCCAAATGAATAAAAACTCACTGCATGGTCACTACAGCAGTATCGCATAACTGAACATTTTGATACTTTTGTGTGAGTTTCATTTTGAAATTCGAGTCATCCTCTCTCAAATATTCCAACACCAAATATTTACAGAAATATCGCACAATGTCATGTGAAAGTTCGTTACCATGATTAAAGCCATACCAAGGTGTGAACATGACTCGCTCTGTTTTGTGAAGGAGAAGGGATAGCTTTTTGCCCTCTTCTGCAGTTGCAAGAATGTTCCATTTCGAAAGATCGGTACATGCTTCTGCGAGAACAGCACAGATATAGCTTTGTGAAAGATCTACTGATTGTTGAATCTTCTCATGTTGAATAAATAACTCTGGATACTTTGTTTTAAATTCCATCAATAGCGCACTTTTTAAACATGTCTCATTCAGTGCTGTTACATTGATATCCATGTATTGAAAAGCATATTCGACAAAGCCCTGTTTCACATCTTTCACATAACCAAGTCTACAGGGAACACTGTATTCGCGACCTCCTCTTAAAAAAAGTACAGCGATCCGTTTAGATGAAATTAATTCTTTCATCATGTTCAAAATGTCATTCAAGAGGGGTTCGATGTGGGAGGGTACATCACAACCAGCATAGAGTGGAAAAACCACAAAATCATAATCAAAATAAAATCGAAATATTCGAATGTGCTCTTGGGTCAGATCAGCTTGGTCCATCGCATCCACACAACTCAACAATGCAAATGAATCATCGGGTTGGTAGGGCTGAAATTCCTTGTTGTGCCATTTAAATAATTCTGGATTTCGAACAAATCCATTAAATTTCTCGCAAATACATGTAAAAAAGTGTGGTGGCTCTTTTCCTCGTAGGATTAAGAGTTTTTTCAATCCAATTGTTGAGGAGGACGAGGATGAGAACACAACGTCGGGATCTCTTGTTTGAGAAATTCGATGAAATGGAAATTCATTTCTTGGACTCGTCATTTTTTTGCGTTTGTAACTTTTGTGTTGTTCTTGCACTACAAACACTGAAACAGATTCCATAGGCATCATAAATGAATGGATGATACTTGTGATAGATTCGTTCTCTCGAAATATTTCTTGCCGTTCTTATTGTCACCGTGTTGTATGTGCATTTAAGCTTGAACAATGAAGGATTTTCCAATAAAAATTCTTTCACAATTTATCTCGAATCCACTCTATGCGTGTCTGGTTGCAATGGTGACCATCTTTTCCAAGTCGATTTCACTTGTCAAGAGAAGAATTCATCGCAAGGACTAAGCAGCCTCTCAGTCAGATTAGATGTTTTATTTAATTTTAGTTGTGTTAAAGAGATTACGTTGCAACAAATGGAATGTATCTGGACATAGCTCTCTTATACTATTTGGATCTGGGTCCATTATCAAATATTTTCCTCCATTAGAATAACCTTTAATAAATCTCTCACCTTTCGTTGTTTTGATGTGTTGATATTTTACGTGTAGATGTGCCACTAAAGGAATCAATCGATTCTTGCTGCTTAATATTGCATTAAAGTCTTCTTTTTTCGACATCGTGCACTTGATCCCTTTTTGAACATCTGTAAAAAATTCACTTATTGTATCGCAATTGTGTAACTTGTTGCTCACAATAACACCATAAGGTCCATCATCAGAAAAGTTCAAACAAATACCATCTGCATGACAAAATAAGGAAGAGGGATAGAAATATAATCCGTCAATGATATCTTTGAATGTAGTGCTCCAATTTTCTTCAATGGGTTTGTTATAATTTAACAAACAATGAACATAAAGAACATCTACCAGAAGTTCTTTTTCATATCTATTTGAAAGTTCTTGTGCATTTTGATGTGTGATACTTGTAATAGAAATTAATCGATTGAATGAATGACTTAATTTCAAAATTGAGTTCCAATAATGGCTCATAAGGGCTACCGTCGGTTATGAGATTTGCAATCTGCATTGTTCTTGAGAAGCTTGCCACTATGGTGTTGCAATAGAAGAGGAAATATCTTGTTCCACACTCGAGGATTTTCATGTTGAATTGCTAATATTTGATTCAAAATGGAGATTGGGTCATTTGTCAAGGACATTGAATTTAAGTATTTCTTTGTAACAATCTCTCTTGCTACCTTTTGTAGAATTGGATCTGATGCATCAAATTGATAGTCATGACAATAAGTATAAATGTTGAATTGAAACAACTCCATATTTGGTTTTGCTATCCCAGAACTCATTACCGAGGAAGCCAATTTTTCATCGCATGTAATTGTTTTCCCCCTATATCATATTCATTAATTAGAAAAACATCCATTAAAAACGAAGGATCTAAATAGTCTGGTAATTGTTTGTTGTCAATTCTTTATAATACCCTTGTTTCAATTGACATCACAAAATTGTTCCACTGATCTTTGAAAATTTGTACTAGATTGGGAGATGAGGTTGTTTCTAAAAAAGAGGCCACAAGACCAAAAACTCTTCTTCTTGTGGGAAACATGTGTTTAACAGATTGATAAAACTCTTTTTTGGAGATATCGGATGCTTCTAATAGAGCATCCACATCATACATTGTTTGTAGCAACTGCAATGCTTGCTCAAAATTAATGAGATCCAAACCAATGAAATGGTAAGGAGGTGTCATTTCGCGTAGCCTCCCCAGAGTTGACTTGATAAACACAACACTCTCAATTTTAAAATAGGATCCACAATAAATATCACAAATATTCGGTGAACAACCTTTTAAGAAAAAAATTTCTTTTTCAATCACTGAAAACAAATTTCGAAGAATAGGACCCTTTTGGGATAATATTGGAGTTTGGAATTGCAAGAATAGACATGCGTCATCAATAGCAATAATAAATTGAGAATCCTTTCTCAGGTTCAATCGATCGTTTAACTTCCGTATTAAAAATTCTAAGAAACACTTTAAATAGTAAGAATAGGTATAAATCCAGGAAATACTTTTCACTAAATCTGAAAAAATTTCTGAAGATACTTTCATAGTATTTCTATTATATTGAGCATAGGATAACATTTGGAGAGGATTATCGAACGGTGTTTTGTTGTCTGTTTGTTCCCATATAGTTAATCAAATGTGAAGAAATAGATTGAAACTTAATTTTCTTGCAATCAAAGCAGTTTTCCCCACCCCTTCTGGTGCCAATAGGTAATTACATGTTTCCTTAATATCAACCCCTTCATCAAACCAAACCTCTTGTAATTTTGGAACAAAGGGGAACACGTCTGTTGCTATTTGGTTGTTGCGAACAGGAACAAGAACATCTTTAACAAACTGAGAAGAGTTCTTACAATGTGCCTTAAAAGGAACAAGAATATCCCGCATAAACAAACTATGTTCAAAATCATTTCTATCTTTTTGCGGTAGTCGTTCATTGATGAAGCGATTCAAAACGTCCTCATAGTCGTAAGAATGACTTGAAAACATACTTAAACCTGAAGGAGGGACAAGGATATCTCTGGCGTAACGCTTTAGTCTTTCTGGACCGTCAACATTGACCCAACTAAGTTCTGACCATTCCCAAGGATATCCGTTGAGTACCAAGTCACAGAAGTCCAAATACCAACTTTGAAATTCATGAGAAACCTTGGCCGTTTTTACAAACTGGTCTATTATGCCACCAAGTTGCTTATCAACTTTTGTTAATAGTTCTTGTTTATCTCTTGGGAAAGATTTAAAATATGTTGGTGAGTGAAACTTGTAACTTGCTTTTTGGGATTAACTGATCATTTATCCAAATAAGCACTTCCTGCCACGTGTCAAAACCAATTACACCATGTTCATTCCCGATATCAGAAGCAGATACACTATGACCTGATTGTGTACGCTTCACTACATAGCGGACAATGCCTGAAAGATCAAATCCATTAAATTCTATATTGTAGAAAGCTTGAACTTTTTCCGTTGTTAGTCCAGCACCCCTCTCTGATTTAGGTTGACCCAGTGCGGACTTTACTTGATCCTTGGTCCATAAAGTGAGACGTTTAGTCATCAAGAAATCCTTCACCCAATATACCACTGTATTGCGTGTACTTTCAGAAACCTGAGAATAATCATTACTTTGAGACATGGTGGCTAGCACAAAGTCCACATTCTGTATCTTAATGTCTTGACAAAGATCATAAAGAGAGTTTCCATCGAAACCAGCGTTATAGAGAGGTTTGACCTTCTCAACATCTAAAGAAGCTCCTCCTTCAGACTTTTCCATACAAAGCAAAGACGCAACTTGTTGAGGTGTCCATTCCTTAATATTTAGCAATGAGAGTTCCACTTTGGACCCTTGTTTCTGATCAGGAGAATTGGTTTCCTTGGAGATTGGTTGTTGAGGGTTTTCATTAAAACTTTTTTGAATCAGCCTTCCCTGAGAGAATGTTCTTGATTGGAAGGAACGTTGGATGGCATCTCCAATACCGCTTTGTGAATTTGAAGAAAAATCAAGGTGATTTTTTGAGAGATGAACGAAAGAAACGCCGACTCCATACAAGATGCTATAATTTTTGGAGATACTTCTTTGATTTGGTTTTCTCAATGATGAGAGCCCGTACATTACCTTAAACAAATTTTTCATTTTTTTTGGACTTTTTTTCTTAGCTTGTTGGTTGGGTCTACGAATGGTTCTCTGTTCCAATCAAAAAGGCTGTACGAAAGGGAGCACATTGAGGTTACATTCCTGTCCCTGATGAAAATACAGGACAAACGAGTCTTTGGAATGACTTGAATCCCACTAGAAGCGCAATATAAAAATTTCCTGTAACTAATAATAAACAGAAAATGAATGAATAATAATAATAAAGTATAATAATAATACAATAATAATTAAGGAAGTTCACTAATCAAGAAAAAGTCAAATGTGTCAATATGATTGTCACAATTTATTATCACTGATTGATTGTGGGAGAATCACTACTGCATTCGGTGCCATTTTTTTGAACTTGCACTCGGGATAATCCATCAAAAAACAAGACATCATCAGGAACTTGTAAATTCATATATTCAATGATGATGATTACTTGTGCCAACTCGACGACGAGGAAGAATTAACACTCGAGCTCAAAGTATTCGCTGGTGGTGGCTCTTCTTTAAGTATGGGAACATTTTCAGACCTGTTGGATATATTCATACGAGCGCTACTCGAAGAGGGTTGTGTAGGTTTGGTGGAATAAGCTGAGCTTTCAAGGCCTAAACTCGTGTTTGGTGTTGCTTTCCTCATGCCCAAAGTCAAACTTCCATAACCCATTGCTCCATAGGTACCCTCGCTGGTATCATTAAGGAATGATCGAGTAGGAGATAATGAATGCGTGGGAATTTGATCAAACAAGTGTGATCTTGAATTGGTTTGAATGGCTCGAGATTTGGATTGAAAATCGAATATAGTTGGTTCACCATCTTCCTCATCCTCCACCAATGCCATCCATTCGTCATGAATAAGAACATGATTATGCACTCTATTAAAAACTCCAATAGTGATGACAACAAATAACAAGTAAACAATTATTAAAAAGAAAAGGATACATTGCATAATAAGGTCAGGCCATGAAACTAATTGTATCCCAAATAGTATATCGAACTGTGAAATGATCCTATAGGTCTCGTAAATTATCCACACAAATTGATGCATGAAAATGAATAATAGTATTCTTACTTTGCATTTTCTCAAGGAATGGCTAAGGAACAATCCAAATATTGCTGAAAGGGTAGCAATGGTCAGGGACATGAAGATGGAAAACGAAGCTGAAATGAGAATCATGAGTTGTTCAATATATTTTGTTTCTGCTCCAGCGAATCGAATATCATAGTACGTCATTAGGATTTTTAAAACATGAGACACAGTATTCAGGATAATGTCAATGATTGATAGAATTAGTAGGGATCCAAATACAATTTTGTGAAATAATTTTTTGTGTCCATAATTGTAGAGGATGAAAAAGTAATTAAGGCTCAAAATTCTCTGGAATAAAAACACCACAGAAAATAGTCCTCTCACTGTAGATTCTATAGAGAGAATGGCTTCATTGCTGTGCTTATTTGCCTCATTGAAAATATTGTATGCTTCTTGGCCCATATAGATGCATTGTAACGTGAGAATGGCGCAATAGGACAGGCACAATAGAATAATGTTGATAAATAGGGCGTAGCTGTGTGGAAAGAAATAACTCTCCCTGCTGAAATGTGAAGTGTGATGAACAACTTTTGAGGTAGTAACTTTGGACATTATCTCAGAAGGGCTGGGTTTTGTAGTGGTTCCAATTAATGCAGGATTATCATTGATGGCTGTTGCTGGTGGCGATGATGGAATGCTATGTTGTCCCGCATTTCTGCTACTTCTCTTGAAATATATTAATCTAAGGATTAAAATCAATGAAACTAGAGAAATTATTAAAAATAATAAATCTTCCACTCCCCATATTGAAATGTTTACAATTGCTTTCGTTGCCGTAATTGTTGAATTACGAGGAGTTGCAATTGTATCCAATTTTGATGAAATGACTTTGCCATGGCTCACAAAATCCGAGTTCATGAGTGCCCCATTATCGGAATGAAAAAAATTGTCTGCCGCCGAGAAGGTCGGTGCAAATATTTGTTGTTGAAGGACCTTCAATTGATCCATAATGTTCTCAAACATCCATGACGGTAGAAATGTTGATGATAATGGATAGGCTTGTTTTGATGATGATGGTGATGAGAAGAGTGGAGAGAAGTGTTGCTGCTCATCCTTGTAAAAGAAGGACACCAGCTCTTCTCTAGGCATTTTTTTGAAAGCTTTGCAGCAGAAATTATCCACAACAATTCGACTTTCAAGATTTTTTCCTATTAGTGACGACTGCTCGGATATACACACGAGTTGAACATGTCTTTCAAGAACTGTAAAATTAATTGTTACTCCTGATATTTGTAACATTGAATTCAAACCGTAACAGGTGGTCCTTCTGTGTTCTTGTCCACTGATACCCAAAAGACACAAAAAAAATACCTTTTCGTACGATTAAAAAACATCGATAATCATCGTTGTTGGCCCTCTAACGGTAACAACCAAAGAGCACTGCCACCAAATTCTCATTGATTATCACGTAGCACATACCACGTGAGAGATTCAACCACACACATCATGATGATTTATGGTGGAACGGGTGGACGGGGAGGAGGTGTTTCTTCCTCCTTGATGGCTTCACCGAGTACGGCCACGACTACCACTTCCACCACTTCAGGAGCATCAACGCCAACATCCATGATGGTTGGATCTGCTTCTGCAACCTTGAAGATGATTCCGAATATCTCATCATCGTCATCACCATCATCGGGTTGTGCAACGAACAACAGCAACAACCCGGAAAATAATCCAACAACCACCCATCTTTCAAAACAGCCAATCCAACAATCATTCGATCATTCTTCTTCGAACGAATCACTTAATAATTATGGAATATCAAATCAAAACAATGTCACGAACAAATTATTGACAAGCACATCATCATCATCATCAACAGAGGACTCAAAAGAATCAACATCCAGAGAACAATCTTACTCTATCTATTATAATATTGGATATCAATTTATTGTCCTTCTGGGAGTTGCTTTGGAAAATATTTGGCAATTTGTTGTTTGGATTTGGAGCTATTTACAGTGTGCAGTTTTAGGTGCAAGCACACTCCACCAGAAGAACCGAAGCAGAGAACGTTCTAAAAGTGGAGCACATGCTAGGACGAATTTATCATCCTCTCTCTCCCATGCCACATCAAAACATAAGCAACAACCACAACAACAACAACAACGGGATTCTCTTTCATATAGGCCCACCAATCCGTCGTCGCCGTCTACCGAATTGTCACCGACATCTTCGTCTTCTACTCAACCCTCTCCTTTTGAATTTCTTTCTCTTCTCACTGGTCGAACTAGCAGATCAAATTCTAGTGCAACCTCCAACAACAACTCTTCCATTCCCAAACCTTATTTAATTCTAGACTTGGATGAGACACTCATTCATGCTAGTACCACACCTCCAAGACCAGATCATGAGAGACTTTATAATTATGTCCTGGAAGTAATGATTGACCAGGTAAATTGTACATTCTATGTTTCGGAAAGACCTCATTTGAAACTCTTCATGGAGAAAGTTTGTGAGTGGTACAATGTTGTGAGTAAGTAATTGAATAATGATATTGAAAAGTCGATAGTTTACACTGGACAATTAATGTTGATGAAATTTATTTACATGAACCATATTAAAATCTTGCGACACACTGCAGTATTTACTGCAAGCGTGAAAAGTTATGCTAATCCTGTCATTGATAGACTCTATCACTCGGATAAAATTGTCGATCGACTCTTCAGATCGGTAGGTTTCTTTTCAAGGTGTTTTTAGCATGACCTAATTTCTATTTGTTGATGAAATTTATTTACATTGGTTCTATGTATGACGTCTTGAAATCTTTATTGTTGTTCACGTTGGTTCATGGAATTAAAAATGATTTTAAAATGATGGATTTCATTCAACTGAAATCATCAATATTATGGTGACTACTTGGAAATACTAATAATTGAAAACAACTTGGAAATTACACAGTCGTGCTACGTGACAGAGCATGGAGTTTATATCAAAGATCTTAAAAGCGTCACAGACAATCTCGCAAAATGTATGATTATTGATAACAGCCCTATATCCTACATGTGGTATCAAGAAAATGCAATACCAATATCGAATTGGATGGGCGAGAACGAACACGATCGAGCATTACTTAACTTGCTTCCTTTACTAGAAGCATTGAGACATTTGGAGGACGTTAGAAACGTTCTCAAATTTAGGGTTGAGTTGTAACCTTCAAAATTTGCTTTAATACAGCAGTCCAACCAAATTGGAAGAATTTGTGATGATATTACGAACTTATTGATGGAGAAAAACCAGAACACTAAATTAATGAAACTAGTGAATTCCAATTTCAGAGAGGACATGACGCTTTCAGAAATTATAACAGAATGACAATCCAAACATTATTTCCACCTTCACTCCCACGTCCATAATTCCACATTTCCTTTTCCGTTTTAAAATCTTTCAATGAAACTTATTTATTGCTGCTGAGGCTGCTGCTTGAGATATTCCTCATATTGCTGTGGAGTTAAACATTTTGCAAACGATAAGGCATGAATTCCTTTCATTTCTTCTTGAAGCTTATTCATCACAAGTCTCTGTCTTTCAAGCAACTTTTTATCTTGAAATTCCGGGCTCACTACAAATACTTGAAAACTACTTCCACAACCTCCACTTTGTTATTTAATTTATTTTTCACAACACATGTAAATATATGTGCAAACACAAAATATTATATCATTTCATAAAGTTAAATTGGGTTCATTAATTGTTGAATCAATTCCGAATCATCAATAATTATAATGTGTTCATCATGAAAGTGCACAATCGGTGTCAATTAGTAAATCCATCCGTTCAGTTGGATTCAAAAATCATCATCACCCCACGTCAAACATGTTTCATTTTGACAATTCAAGTTAGCTAACTATTTTCCTCATTGCGTAATATTTAATGTGAATTTTACCTTTGATCGATCACTTGCACAAACGTTGCTCCGATTCGTTCCTTGAGTAATTCTTCCAATTTCTTGTCGGTGAGCTTGGACATTTTTTTTAATACGAACACGCATTAACAACAACAATTCCAAAACCTCTCTAACAAAAACTCTATCTGTACGATCAGTAAGCACTGTTCTTTGTTGGTTCCATCGATACAGTGATGATCTCATCACAGAGGTCAAGGATGAAAACACAAATTTGAAATTTAAAAGAGAAAAAATGTTCAAACCAAAGGGTTCACTTGTATCCACCAAGTCGGTGCCCAATCTTTCAGCTCTCAAAACACAGCAATCCTCATCATCATCATCGGGTACAAATGTTCATCCCTCGTCGTCAACTATGGGAACTTCCTCAACAACAGCAAATAATCTCACACAAGCTACCACAGCTCTCAGTTATTATTATGCCCACACACCCCTCCCTCCTCATCATCAACATTTATTAAATTCGTTATCATCGGAGTCTCCCCAATTATCGGTTGATGATGTACAACAATTATCTGAAATGTTATACTTTCCAAAATTTAAAAAGGCTACGCACAGTGCTGTTTGTTACCGATGTAAACATCAGATTATTCAGATTGCATTTGAAGTCAATAATGAAAATGGAACCGCACCAAAACAAGCGCTTTTAAAAGTCTATGATCCCAATAATTATAATTTATCCCTGTATTCCGATAACGAAGGTACTGCTTCGACTGTTGGCAACTCTGAAGGAGCCTCATTCTCTTCTTCTGTTGACATTGCTGAAGCAAGCTCATTAGCAGTGGCTGCAACAGAGAGCATTCATCGAGAGACTATTTCATCTCCAACAGTAGTAGCATCTTCATTGGATCCTTCTTCATCATCATTTATGAATAGCAATAATAGTTCGATGAATGAAGCAAACATTACGAATCAACAAACTCCACCAGAATCACCAATTTTATCTTCATCGGTGAACACTAACAATTTATCAGAGCTGTCGAGCACGTCGAGTGAAAACAATTCGTCTCAGCCACCCAATTCTCACTCACGAACTGTGACCTTCGCTCTTCCTCCAATTACATCAACCAAGAAATCACCTCTAGAGATGAATCCTCTTTTCAGGGAATCATTCGCAAACATCAAATCTCCAACAACACTTGCCTCCAAATTGTCACAACAAGAAAAACAAGACAAGAAGAGATTTTCATTTAATCCCAATGCAAAAAAGAAGGAGGCTCAACAAAAGCAACTCCAATTGGAGAAACAAAAAGAGGAGCAACAATTGAAATTTCAACAACGTATGACGCAATTAACAGAAGAGGTAGAGCTATTAGAACCTTGCGTAATTTCGAATGAGGAATACGAAATGAATGTTGAATTTGTAAAACAGCTGTACCAATACGTGTCAAATACTGTACAAATAGATACGCCACTCTGTATGGAATGCATGGAACAAGTTGCTGGCCAGTTGAATATCCAGCTTGAAAAGATCAAAGAAGAAGAGAAAATTTATCAAGATCACTATTCAAAATTTTTACAAGATAATCAACACAATGAAAGTGAAAGTGATTTAGAAAATGAATTACGTCAATTAGAGGAAGCAGAAAAACTCCTTCGCCAAGAGCTAGATATGCTTCAAAAACAGGAAGAAGACTTGTCGACCCTCGAGAGGAGTCAAATCGACAAGGAAGAGCAATTTTCAGAACTTCAACAACGATATTGGAAAGAGTACAATGATTTTCACAATGAGCTCTTACTTTACAATGAGGAAAGAGAGGCAGTGCAACAGCGAATTGTTAACGTCTCAAAAGAAATGGAAAAGCTAAACAGCACAAATATTTTCAACGATGCATTTCATATTTGGTACGAAGGCCACTTTGGAACCATTAATAACTTTAGGTTGGGAAAGCTGCCGACTCAAAATGTAGAATGGAACGAAATTAATGCTGCTTGGGGTCAAGCAGCACTCTTGCTATTCTCACTATCGAAACACAAACATTTTGCATTTTCAAAATATAAGATTATTCCTATGGGAAGTTTTTCAAAAATCGAGACGCTGGACAACAAGAACAGTTATGATTTATTTGGAGGAGGAAGCAACGGAGGTTTATTTTGGCAATCCAAATTTGACAAGGCCATGGTTGCATTTTTGTATTGCCTTAAAGAAATTGGCACATTTGCTGAAAAGCAAGATACTTATTTTGAATTGCCCTATAAGTAAGTAACAATTAATTGTTCTAATCAAAGTTGATTTTGTGATTTACTTGCGTGGCCCATTTTTCTGTGATGAAATTGGATTAATGATAGAATTCAAGACGACAAAATTGGTGGAAAGAGTATCAAACTCGGTAATGATGAAAATTGGACGAGGGCATGTAAATATGTTCTCACTGACCTCAAATACTTGATCTCTTTTTGCGTGTCAAAATAAAGACCATCCCTTTCGCATTGCATGCATCCAAATGTCCTACAGCAATATTCATCATCAGGAACATTGTTCCAGAATTGGTAAAATTCCAAGCTATTCAATTGAATTCGTTCGAAGAGGTTCTCAAGTCACTCGTTGTTTCAAACCCACTCAAGTGACAGAAAGATTGAGAAATGATTCTAAAATGTGGCATGATCTATATATAAATCACAGTAGTCCTCTTAAATGGTTGTGGAGAATGAAATACTATTAGGTCATGATTACTTTCGCCAAACTTCAAAAACATATTTGGACATAATCTAAAGCAAAACAAACCTAAAAAAATGAAAATATTTCAAGTAGAGGCTGTAGGTGATGGACCAGGAGGTATTTGCTACCATGTCATGGAAGTGATTGGGAGCAAAGTAAGTAGCTGCGTATTTTGAGGTACAAATAAGGAAATTGCAACAATGTCACCTGTTCTTTACATCATCCATATTTATTTTAAAATCATTATTACTAACTACTGAACAAAATGAATGAACTCCGATGAAACATCAACATAGTTTTACGTCTTTCTCGGACAGAGACATCCCAAAGCAAATCCCAACTCGATCTACATCTTTGACATGATTAACCAAATTTGGACATGTCTGGAACATCAGGAAGGAAATGCTCCAACTCCTCGATCGATGGCAGCTTCATGTGTGGTGGGAAAGAATATTTACATCTTTGGAGGATATTCTTCCAATACAAATTCTGAAAATCAATCCATGTCACATGTCCATCATCACAATCATGCGAGCTCTGAAAATAATACTCCCTCTCACGTTGTATACAATGGAATGTATTATTTTGATACTGATACCTATCGATGGATACATATTGAAAACAACAAGAATTCTTTGTGGCCAGATCCACGAGGTGAGTATGATTCCTTTTGATTGATGAAAAGAATATCATTTCAAATTATTATCTTTACCTTAATCATTGATTACAATCACTCTTGAATCTTTTCCAAACGATTGAAAACTCTCACATGTCGTGAATTCATTAAATCCACCTGATGGTTGAAAAAAATCCAAGCTGGAGCCCAAATGTGGCATTACAATGGCAAATTGTACCTTCTCGGTGGATGTCAAGGACGTCAATTGTATTTTTCAACCTTGTATGAATACACCATCGAAACCAACACTTGGAAAATAATTGAAACTACTTGTGGAGAAAATGCTTCGTGTTTGGATGATCTCTCGAGTTATGAACTAGTTCATTTCAATCCTGTCGTTCATGCGTCGAATCAAAACGAAAGCTTCATTCAAAAGCCAAAAAGATTTTGTTGTTTTTCTGCCAATTTAATTGGAAATGAATTGTTTATCTTTGGAGGACTTTATGCAAATGAAGAAATGGAACATCATCAAGCTTCAAATACACTCTTTGTATTGGATATGGACACCATGGAATGGAGAAGACCACACATGGCTTCAGATAATACACTTGTTCCTGGTGCAAGAGCTTCACATACATTGTGTGACATTGGGTCTTGCGATTTAATTCTCACAGGAGGATGTGACGTGGTTCACAATTCGGATTACGACCCTCATGTTTACATGCTGAATGTCAAAGAAATGAAATGGTACTGTTTGACAGATTTTTTCTTTGGATCTCACATGCCAAAGCTTGTTGGAATGTCGAGTGTGTATTGTAAAGAAACAAAACAAGTATTTTATTTGGGTGGAAAAGGATATGATGATGTGATGAATTATCACTTTTATCGAATTGACACCACATTGGTGAAACTCATTCATGAACATGAAGCATATTTATCAATCAGTAATAATGGAAAACATAAAAATTATGGCTCAACCGCATTAGCTCACAAGAGAAGTTCATTAAAAGTGGAGAAAAGTTCTTCTCACTGGTCAAGTAAGACCTCTGAGAATAAGCTTGTTGTAGAGACTTGTAGAAATGATCAAGAAATGAGTGGATATCAAAGTGAAGCGCAGAACCCTTCCACTCGAGAAAAGAGAAGCAAATCCTCGATTATAACCTACTCTCCAATTCCAAAAGTGGACTCTTCTGAAGGTGAATTATTGGAATTTCAAAACGATGGTGTGAAAAGAGAAGAAGGATCATCTTCCAAACGTACGATTGAACATATTTTGGATTTTTTCAAAAAATAAGGATTTGAACATGCTTGCGACATGACATTAAAAATCAAGTGCTGGCATTTCTTATGAATTTTTAATCCTGTGTCATTTATTCTGTGATCATCATACATCTTTCATTAATATCTGTCCATATATCTTATCTTTTTAATATATCTAAAATCATGTAATAGTTCCAACATTTTCTGGACCTCAAAAAAATTGCTGATCAATTTTTTTTATTTTTGGAATCGTGGGATCTAAACTGAAGGATTTTCATCGAACGCAATTTTTTAAAAAAAAAACAAGCACTGAAAAGTTTTGAAATTTTTTTATTCATACCAATCAACCTTGGTTACTCACACTGCCACCAATCGTTCAGGAAAAGCCAAGAAGGTTAAAAAACCACATCGTCCAAATGTCAACCATCCTTCATTGAATGTCAGTGTTTCCTCTCCCATGGGTTTGTTGGATGGTAAGAAATCAAAGAAGGCCATCAAGATCAAACGACCACTTCCGTCCAATTCCACCTCTTCTCATGACTCCTCTTCATCCTTTGAGGAGGACACTACCAACAAGATGCAACAACAAGACAAGTTGATCCACATTCGTAGTAAAAAATCATCCTCTCCAAAATATGCGATCAAAGTTTCAAGCATTAAGAGATTGGGTCGTGTGGCTGGAATTACACATCTGACTTCAGAGTTCGTGACAAATATTCAAAAGAGTCAATTTATCTTTGAAGAAGTTGTTCAACGGGCATGTCAAATGACAAATGACATGAACAAAAAAACCATTACACATGGAGTGGTGAGTCGTGCGTTTGCTGCGGTCATTCCATTCGTTAAGGAAATTCCAAAGAATGATACAAACTTGGAATTTGCAAAGGCATTTAATAATGATGAAGAGGATGAAGACCTTGATGAAGATTATATTGAAGAAGATCAAGATGATTTAGAAGATGAATAAACGATTATTTCATTCATTTAGGAATGGAACAATAAAGAAATACTCTTTTATATATATATAAATTTATATTATAATTTATCTCTATTTAGAAAAATGAAATATTTTCAAAAAATTTGAAAGAAAAAAATGAAACCTTTTATGAAACTCTGTAACAAGATTCATCAAGGCAGCAACATCATCATCCAATACTGCTCGAGTAGAACCAACTGCAACAAGATCTTGTTGGGAAATAAATTATTACTCTCCGGTGATGGAAAATCAAATACAAATACTTGCCTCCGATTTAAATCCCACGCCATCGGAGCTGCTCTGAAATCATCCAATACTTCATCAACTCCCTCCTCCAATAGTAGCAGCAGCAATACTCCAAACGATTATAAAATTCAATATGAAAAATATTCCAAAGATGTAGCACAAAAAGTGGTCGACCTGTTTCATTCAAACAATAGTTGCCAACTCTCAACCTTTGGAGGTGCAGAAACGGAAAGTCTGGAACATGTGAAGACTTCTGTACTTCCGATGGCCGTTGTTAAAAAACAAGTCTCAAATATTTATTTGGAAGAATTCAAATCAAAAAAGAAAGTTTCTCCACAAGGTGATCCCGAACCTCTCGAAGGAATTAAATATTATGATGATGTGAATTTTTCTGGATTTGATGATGATGGAAATGCGCTTAAAAATTGGGATTTATATCTGTGCATGCCAGAAACAAGTGAACATTTAAAGAATTTGGACCACTGCCCAGAGCCATTTCAATTCAGAAGGAGGCTCAACTCTGATGAGAGTGCAATGGTTAGTGTTGCCACTGGTCACACAGATCAAGCAATTTCATCCATGTTTCGAAGAATTGAAAGGCTTCCTCCTCGTGCAGTCATGTCTTGCACACTGGAGCGCATTCCTGAAGAATCGAATGCATTTCATCAAATTTGGACTGAACAATTCAGAATGCACCCCAATGTTTCCGTACAAATGAAAAAGAAGAATGCAAGAATTTTCAAAGTTAAGGTTGTGAAATCGGCATTCCATGTTGAGGTTGGAAATGAAATGAAACAAGTGGAAAATTTAGATCATTTCACTGATGAAGTGATTCCGGATCCTCTTGCATCGTCACACAATATTCGATCCATCATTAGTCGTCTGAACGCCACTCCACAACGAATTGTACCCATGCTAGAGAAGGGATATGGCTTGAATTTGAGTGATTTTTTCATCTTCCACATTAATTCGTATTGTATCAAAATTATGGGCCGTGATGCCAGTTCAAAGAAGGATGCAAGTGAATTCTCCATGTACGAATTGGATTATGGGTACAGAATTACGAGTGAAGCCATGCTTAATCAGTACTTGGCAAAATTTCAAACCATGCATTAATAAAGGTGAGCTAGTGATTAATGTTGAAGTTCCACTTTCTCCATTGTTCTTCATTGAATGTAGTGGGTGTTAAGCTTCCCCTTGTGGGGTACTGCACGATCTTCTTCGGGAGATGATAAGACATCCGAGTCGAATTTTGTGTTTGATTTAAAAGAGGCCCTCGGAATTGAGAAAAATCGACACAATTAAAAGAATTTTATATATTATAATTTTATTGTTGGATATTGAGTTTAGAACTTCAATGGAGAGAAGAATTCCTTCATGGCCTTACCACCCTTGAGGTATCTTGCTTCAAACTTCTTCTTGATTTGTCTCTTTGCTTCCTTCTTTTGTGATGGGTCTTCTACTTTATCAGCAACCAATCCCTTAAAGTCCATATCCAATGTATGTCTTGTTGGCATCAAGTGTTGGTAGTTGACAGCCTTGATGAAAACAGTGAGCTTGCTTCTCTTCTTGAGTGAAGTCAAGGACATGGATTTAGTCACTGGCTTTGGATAATGGTCAATACCGACAACAACTGCGTGTGGGAAAGACTTGTCGTTAGCGGCCTCATCAAAGTTCTTGACGATCACTGCCTTTCTACCAGCATATCTACCTTGCAAAATAATGACGATTTTACCTGGTTTCAAAAACTTGGTTTGAGTTTGAGTCTCTTTGGCCATTTGAAATGATGGATAGGGCGATGAGTTTTGACGTATTTTTTTTCAACAACTTTTTTATAAATTTGAAAGTCAACCCAATACAAGAGTTTACAATGGAATGGGAAATTTGTGTTTGAAAAGCCAACAAAATGTTGAGTGAGTGTTGAGCGAGTGGCTCATCAAAGTGATAATAATTACCAACACCGATAATCACCAATGGGTTCTCATCCACTTGTTCGAAAGTCAGCATCAGCACGACAGCAACACTCCGTATCACCACCTGCAGCATCCTTCGGTAAAGAAAACACAAAAAAATGTTCAACCCAGGAAATCTTAGTAAATATCTTCACTTATTCCAAACAAGTCGGATGGGAAAAATCGGTGAAAAACTCACAGCATTGAGAGGACACGGAGAAGCTGGAGGATTGGTTCGTGTTACCATGACTGGACTCGGAAAAATTGAAAAATTGGAGCTTGATGATAAACTATCGGGAAAGAGTTTGGAAACTATTGAAGATCTTGTTGTGAGTGCATGTAATTTAGCTAAAGATGATTTGGAGAGACAAACAACTGAAGAGATGATGAAATTGAGATCGGATCCAGAGCTTCTTGCTCTCTTCTCTCAAATGTTCAAGAAGCCTGGAGAGAATTATTAAATATTCATACATTCGGCCAATATTTAAAAAGATAAATTTCATCAAAATTATCACCGTTCATGGATATCAATAACAAGCCTCACCATCATGATAGTATGCTAGAGTTATATATTTCGCGAACCAATTTTCGTTCATCAACCAATCAATTCCAAATCTAACAATAACAATTGGAGAGAATAATTCGATGTGTAAAATGTTATAATCGGCTGTACCTGTTCCAAAGTATTAAAATATCAAAAATAATTCAAAAATTCAATTATTAAATTATTTGTGTGATAATATATAATATGCCGTGCTGAGGGCAACTATCACGCTTACGTGGTGAATAATGCTCAACAAGTTTGATGAATACCAAATTATTGTAAAAAGCTGTTTGGTTGGCTGTCAAAGTGTTCTCCAGCAAGAAAAAAAATTCAAAAATGATTTTATTCCTGTAGAATTTTTCTTCTCACATCCAGTTCGACAGTGGTAGGTATCAAAGGCTTTTTGGGGTGGCTATCCGAGGGTGCCTTCGAGAGAGACTGCAAGCAAGGTTAAGGAATTGGAAAAGGACGGACAGAGTTGAACATGCGTTCTTGTATCAAACAAGCCTCTCACTCTCCAATTTCTCTTGTTCAAAATGATGACTATGTAAATGACGAGTCTGACTGATAATGTGCAGACAAAACTTACATTTGGCTTTTATTGGCTGATGATACGAGTGGAAAGAGTACGGGAGAGAGACTTGGTACAACTTGTTTGATTCTGTTCGGTCCGAAACCAAAACTTGCAACCTTGATTGTATCATTTCTTCAGACATCCTCTGGGCCACCCGGAACAACATTTCATTGACACCAATGCTTGTTACTCTTTGATGATGATGATTCCTACCAAGATTGGATATAAGATAAAGGTAAAGTATCACTAGGAATCACTGGTGGTGGGCAATGAAGGCAGAGTGTGTGTTGTTTAGTGCACACTCAGAGAAAGTCGTCCACATTCTTCGGAAAGAGTTCATTCAACCTTCAAATGATGAAGAAAACAAGATGAGGCATTTATCCGATGCTAACTCAATATGAGAGACAACTCTTTTGCTACCTTTAAAATTCTGACAAGGTTTTGATTGTATCTTTTCCATAGTGTGTGGATGAAATTCCAATTAGGATTGTCTTTATTGCCCACCACCGAACATTTGAATTGACCAATTGATTTTAATATGTATTATTCATACCGTGTCAATAGTGTTTAAATAAATAATATGATTGTTCGTAAAATTGTGTCATTGTTGAGCAAAGTCTTTTCATTTGAATCATCTGGGAATAAGTTCACAAAAGATCATAAGACAACGTGCCTTAATAATGGTGAATGCTTGTCATTCATCACCGAATCAAGCTGGAGGATTGATTATTCACAGTTTCCAACATCTCGAATTGAGGAGAAGATTAACCACTCTGGGCATTTCTCATCCATTCTTTCATTATTGAATCAAAAGAAACCCACTCAGCCAACGGAGAAACAGGAATCGAGTGCTAATTTGCCAAACATGTCGTGTTGGAAAAAGATGTGTTTTTATAAAGGTGTGATGATTATGACATTCATCAATCAATTCAATAAATGTAAATCATTGGTTGTGAAGCAAAGTGATTCCAAATGGTGGAAACAAATCCATATATCAACAAGTCCTCTCACAGTTACAATGGTCTAAAATAAATAGCTATTCCAGTATTAATGATGAAAAAAAGAACACTACTCATCCAAATGTCTCGGAACGTATTTTCTCCCAAAAATTCTAATCGATAGGCCGTTGAGAGCCAAACTCCTTGCCCAATAAACCACAGAGCAATCCAAATGAGTACAATGAGAAGAGAGAAACGTGTGGTTGCATTTTTCATCTTGTCATAAAAGTAGCTCTGTAATGTAAAACCAAATATGGAAATAAACCACACAAAATATTGCACTGTGCATACTTTGTTGAACATGACAAATATAAATGTCTGAGAGAAAATAGTACAAAAGAAATTCCTTCGAGTGGTATTCCATGAAAGGGCCAATAGAGAGAGAAATTGAGGAAGAAATGCCAATAGAGAAATAATTTTTGAGCTCTTCAATGCTCCATCCAAATATAAATAATAGAAATAAATTGAAAAATTGTGTCGATTGTCACTCCTCACCACATGATACAGATAGGACTCGTAGAGGAATTGATATCCATAAAATTGATAAAATAAAATTAAAAGAGTCAAGCAAGTTCCTCCACTCCACACACAATACCAAAAACATGCTTTGGTTTTCTGTGAAAATGTTGTAAAGTCCATGAAAAAGTAAATATATATCAAAATGGTAGGCAAGTAAATGATTGGATAAATTTTAAAGTGCACAGAGAGTCCAAACCAAATACTTGATTGAAAGAGTTGACGTTTCTGAAATGAATAGAGAGAAAGAAGAACCAATAATACAATGCATTGATCGGCATTACCTCGAGTCGATACATTCACTAATATTGGATTCAAAAGAACTGTAGCATTGGTAAGAATGAGACTAATGTTATTGCATGGATTTTCCTTTTGGTAAAACCTGTTAAAATTCATTTGTAACAATTCGTAAACCAGCCATGCCACCAGTAAATCTACAAGACAAAATAACAATTTTCCCATAATGGGGTGAATTAAAATGTTTGGAATCATTAGATAACTTCTGTTATTTTGGAGTGTTTGTTGTTGAGTAGATATCAACAAGAGTGTCACAGAGACGTTATAAAATTATATATAATAATAAATTATATATATAAAAATTAATGTTTGAAAAAAGGGAACCTTGTTGATTGCAAATATTCACATTATTCACACTTACAATAATGGAGTGTAACGATATGTTCCTCTTTTAAAAGGAGATTCTCCATTCACCACAAATTCTGCAGCATCTGTAAAAACTTGATAATCCACATCCGTGTACTTCACCATAACTTGTAATTAAATCCAAAATAAATTATTTCAAGATTAAAAGATTCATGGATCAAAGAAAATATTGTGTTTCATCCAAATAATAAAATTTAAATATATAATCATCAATAATAGAAAATTCCATCCCATCCGATCATTCAGTATTTTTCTAAAAACCTACAATTCCGATCATGCCAAACACTATACACAATCATCATCATCCGAAGTATAAATCCTACTAAAAAAGATAGATTTCTACGTTTTTTGGGATTTGTGATCATTGTGTCATCTAACGTTGAAATTTGTGTTTCCGAGTTTTGCATTTTTTTTCAAACATTTTTCCAAACCTTTTGAAATCATTTATTATGATTCATATAATGACAACTCGTTTCCCCTCAACATACATTCAAGACATTTGAAGCTTCATATGTAATGTCCTCAATTGATCATCAAGAATTTTTCATTGAAAGTTTTAAGCTCTCTTGAATCCCAATTCGCAGTTTTTAATTTTTTTTGGAAAAAAAATGCAAACTCGAGTGTTCTCACATCTCAGCTCGAAAACGTTGCGTCAGATTCGGAGTGAATCCATGATGCCATCCAGTTGTTTTTCCATCGCTCAATTAATGATTCGAAAGGAATACTCTTCATCATCATCATCAGTTTCAAAGGAACAAATTAACAAATTGTGTTTACTTTCTAGAGTCTCTTTTCAAGAGGAATCTCAATTAAACAAACTCACTCAAGATGTTAATAATATTATGATGTGTCTGGATATTTTGCAACAATCACCGGTGAGTGATGAAATTCAACCCATGTATAGCCCCATGCAATTTTATAAGAAGAGAAGTAATCGATGGAGAGAGGATGTAGCCTCTACGAATACTTCCGAGGCCGAGTCAATTGCACGTCGAAAGAATATCATTCAGAGCAATACAAAGGATGTCAAGGCTGGATACTTTATTGCTCCAAAAGTCAAGTAAACTTCCTATGAAGAGAGATTTTTTGACAATTATTCATTGTGGAATTTTTGTTAGTATTGATGATTGATTGGAAAGAATTCTAGTAATAGTAATTTTCATAGGTTTAATTTCACGAATGGTAGTAATGATGATTTATTATGGAATTTTAAAATATTTAATATAAGAGGATTCAAATGATCAAACTATTATTATTATTGATTTCAGATCATTCACAAGTGTATTTAAACATGATGTTGTCGATAATTTAGATCTTGCCAACGTTGAAAAATTAATTTTCAAGTCTAAATTTTCTCGAACATTTCCATACTAGTAATCACAATCACCATCATCCATGAAAACATTCATGTACACCTAATATTTTACGTTAAAACTCGTTGAACGTGTCGAGTCAATTGGATTATCGAAGAGAGGAACTTGATCCTTGTGTGGTTTTTCAGCAGGAATGTGATCCGATGGAGCCACCACATCTCCCTTCAAAGTTCTGCCTTCTCCTTGGAACGCTTTAAAATGTTCGTGATGATGTTCGTCTGTTGTTTTTCCAGTACTTGTGCTGCCTTCTTTGCTTTCGAAAGGGTGTCGATTCATTCTTTATAATTATTGTTGTAGAATTTTGTACCAATTTGTCACACAAACGTTATTTTGTGGAGGTTCTTTTTGGTATTTTTCCTGAAATGGCAACATTTGTGTGTCACTTTCTCTCGTTTTTCATTGCTTGATTGTTGTGTCTGATTTCATCTGTCTGTTTGAAATAATGACTTGTTGAGAGATTGAGATCCCTCTATATACCTCTTGAGAAACATATTTCGAAGTATTTCAATTTTTTGCTGAACTACCCTTAACTGCACAATTCGTCAAATTGAATAAGTATTATTTATTCACAAAATTCTTTAATAGGTTTCGCAACTGGCTGATGAAACTTATCTCTCCTAATACGAATGAGATCGAACAATTCACTTCCAAACCTTTCCTCCACTTGCTGTCTTTGAGGTGTTGACAATGGATGTGTGTTTCATCTCAAGTTCGCAATGAATCGTATAATCCGTTCCATACCAGGTCTTGTAATCATTTTCTGATTGACCAAGCATCGTCTCTACAACATCGCCCACAGAGATTCTTTCCATTCTTCCAATTCTTTTCACAGTCAACCCATACTTTCGATAGCTTGTCAACCCTCCAAAAATGATTTCAATTCAACCCTCATCCTTGTCTACTTCTCCTGAAATGAGGTATTTTCGCCATGTTGTCTTGAGTGTTGGATCCACCTTGACGAAAACAGAGCCAAATCGTTCAAATGAAAATATTCCCAAGTCATGAAAATTGTCCTTCCAAATTTTCCCCAATTTTCCCACAATTGGAAAGAACCCTAAAATGGCAAGCTCAAAATCAAACGAGCGAAACAACTTGTTCCAATCTTCGATCACGTTAATGCCATAGAGTCCTTCTTGGAAGTCTAAAAGCCCGAGAACATACTCCAGAGTTGGACTGTGAATGAACTGAAGCAATCCTATTCTCACATTCTATTTCAAATTACAAAAACCACTCAAGATCATATACCAGGAGCTGGTACACTTAAAACCATGACCATTCCTCAACTATTACATAAAATTGACCAATTAAAACTCACCAACAACCATTCAACAAGATATTAGCTTTCGGGATTCAATTTAATTTCAAAAAGTAGAAAGGATGAAATTCAAACACATTCCGAAAATGAAAGAACAACGTCATCTGAAACATCTTTTCATACAAATGATCATCAGCAATTACTTGATGTCACAATGTCCGATCAAGAAAAATTAGAATTGGAACAATTACAAAATGATTGTCAAAATTTTACACAATTTATCATGAAAGTACATGAATTCGTGGCAAAAAAACATTTTTATTAGCATCTCCAACTAACATCCTCAATCTCTATCCCTACACATTAAATCCTGCAAAGGGCAAGATATGAAAGGAGAAATTTATCGATTTTCAGAAGTGAATGCTTGGGAACCTCAACTCGATCATATCCTAAAAGCTCTCGAGTTCAATTTTTACAAGCTCAGCTTGAGAGAGGTGATGGCTTACTTGTGCCATTGGGTTGGTGGCGCCGTGCAGTGTAACTTATCGGAAGGCGAGGTACGTTCCTCTTGTGAGGAAGATGAAGGTCCATGTGGGTTCAATATAAGAATTCAAAACAAAAATCATCAGCAATGTGAATGAATTTCACTTTTCATACAATATGGAGAGAGAATTCCTTGATGCTTCTATATCAACGAATTGTCTTGAAATGTGTCTACTTTCAAATGATTAAAATAAAGTTTTCCATTCAAAAAAACGCAAGTCCAAAGATTTCGAATGATCTCAAAGTTGTTAGGGTTCTTTACAAGATATTCGCTTCATTAGCATATCTCTTTTCATGTTGAAACAAAAACACAAACGTAATTGGATTCTTATTGGTTTTGAAAGGAGTAACAACTCTATTTCTTCAAAGGGAATACCTTAATATTGCATATTTCTTGGTGATTCTTTTGACATCTTGTACTGAGAAGTTGTCTCTCTATAAAAGATTGAGGAGTGATTGGCAACTTCAGTTCTCAATCACTCTAGAGTTTTGATTTCCTCAAAAACATGTTTCTTACAGTATACTGCAACATCATTCTTTGCACCAACCACAAGTCTAACTTTGTAGTTTTCATTTTCTTTCAATGAAAAAACCACATTCATTTTCTTAAGATTGTTAGTATTATTAGACCAAGCGTTTTCAATTTCCCAACTGACTTTTTAAATCATATCTTTTTGGGGTCCGAGTGTGGAATTTATCGATCGGCTAGTGACTCGGAATTACCTTACTTGGGCGCATTCCAAACCTTTCTTCCACTTACTGTCTTTGAGGTGTTTCGTTGAATAGTTCAGATGTCATCTTGTGTGGATCTTGAATGAATCACAAAAGTATTCCAATCAAAATTTACTTTTCCAACTCTTGTAAATCTTTACAATTTTCGCGATCTTTCAAAAAAAAAATGTCTTTTTTACCTTCTCCTCCATCATTGGTTGAGAAAGATCTTTCTCATCAAATCTTACAATTCTCTCGTAATTCTCTCCTTCCTTCATGGCTTGCAAGAACGAGTACGCAATTAATCATACATCCACTCTATCGGGCTCAAATTATTTTACAAACACAGGCTTGCTCTCGGATTCCCGAAGATGAAAAGTTGAATCATTTTCATGAAAAGTTTAGTGCTCCAACGTTGATTGCTGTGGATGATGGATTTTTTAGTCTGTGGAAGACCTTATTGTATAATATAGTGAAGAGTGTTCCGACGATTGTGGTTCAGTATGCTCTGCAGAAATATGCCTTGTCTCGTGTGGAGAATGAAAACTTGAAAATTGCTTTGTCTGCTATTGCAAGTGATGTTTTGCTGTATCCTTTGGATTTGATTGAAGTGGTTTATATGGCTGATCGATCAGAACAGGGTAAATTTGTTGGAGGACAAACATTCCAGTTTCGAGGTCTTTTTGACTGTGTGATTCAAATGTATCAACAAGCACGAGAGGAATTGGAGATGAAATCGTCATCCTTCAATTTATTTTCTGTTCTTTCACATGCATACTATAAGGGATTTTTATTTAGAACTTTGTGTGTTTCAGTGCCAACACACTTGTTGAATGCCTATGTGGAAAATAGAGTTCAACAAAAGGGTGGCTTACTTAAAAATCATTGGCGAAAAGTATTGACAAGTGGAGGCTCAAAGGCCTTCTATTCTGAGTTGTCTGAAACTTTAAGCTCTCCCTCCAAATACTTTAAACAAAAGTTGACATTTATTATCAAGAGCTATTGGTTGAAGAGTATTATTTACTTCTTGTTGTATCCTTTGGATACAGTTTCACGAAAGATGCAAGTGAATGGACAACCTGGATTTTTAAGAAAATACTCAAGCTTGAAAGACTGTTTCACAACAACTCTCATCGAAGAATGTTCGGAAAATTTTAAAGACATGACCATCAACAATGGTTTCTTTAATGGATATCTTTTCAGAAGTCTGGCCATTCCTCTTTCTCTCATCATTCCAGCGCTTGTTGTGAAATTCGTTGGAAGCTCATCAAATGCAACGAGCTCAAAGAAATTTAGTTTACTTTCTTAAGAGGGATAACAGGGAGAAATTTCACATAATATTCATTTTCAATAGATCAATAGATTTAAACAATAGAGTTTATGGATATATATTATATTTCAAACAAAGGAGAATAGATTTTGTAAAAATAATAATCCTTAATTGTTAGCTTGGTAAAACATATTAATGTATGAACATTAGAAATGTCAATCATGTAGTCATTCAATTTTGCAAATCATCCTATCGCATCACCATCACAAATTTGAGTGAAAATGATTGTGAAAATAGCTCTGCAACATTACAACGTCTCCTCTAGAAGTGGCGCTTTCACTCACTGGAGGTATGAACTCTCTACTATTGTCATCATTAACGCTTTTTCGTTACCAATTCTTTTGGATTTTCCATTTTTTCAAACCTTACAGCATAAGGTTCAGTTTCTTTCTTTGGCCTTCCTCTTTTTCTCTTCACGCCCTCTTCATTGGACATGCGTTGAAATCTTCTACTCATTTCCTCAGGAGTGGTCATTGACACCATTCGACCCGACAACAAGGAAGCAGCATTCGTGTTGGAAATGTCAGTTTTTCGTTTTTTCTTTTTGATTCCTCCGCCACCACTCTCTCTGACGTTCGTCGTCATTTTGGTGCATGTACTGCCCATGATAGGAGGAGGAGGTGTCATGATTGTTGTTTTTGTTGTTGATTTCCGTTGTGGTGGTGAGGAGGATGATTTTTTCATGTGTTGTGAATGACTGCGATTTGGAGATGTTTTTGAATTCAGGACGAGTTGTGGCTGTTGTTTGTTAGAGAGATTGTTGTGGTTGTGGTTGTTGTTAAACAATGGTTGAGAATTTGCGGAGACTTGAAAGTCTTCTTGTACAAGTGAAGTGGATTCTAAAAAAAGTAATTCTGAATTCTCAAAAGTTCTACTACTACTACTATTTGACGTTGTGGTTGGAGTGTAGTCACCTCCACCAACTCCACCATCTGTAAAACTACTACTACATGCACTTGTGCTACTACTTTTTGAACAATTTGAATATTCTTGAGGTTGATGACAGGTGGCAGGAAGAGCTGAACAAGTACTTGTGGACATGTGGTGGTGGTGCGTGTTGAGAACACAAGCAGAAATTGGATGATCGTTCAGTTGATGCGACATGCTGATGACCACTCGTTGTGGTGTCTGTTGTTGTTGTTGTTGAGATTCATTCTTGTAGTCGCTGGCAAATACCATTTGCTGCAATAGTGCACTTTGAACACTGGCATTATTCCCATCTATGGAATTACTATTTAAGGAATTGGTTCCATCAGCACCGACATTTGCATCTTGAGCTATTGTGGCGAGAGTGCTCTTACAGTCTTCATTTGTTTCATGGAATCTACTTCCCTTCAAGACCGATGCCAACAACATTTCAATGGCAACGTCATTGGGAGACATCAACAAGTTTGTTGTTGACAGCATCCCAAGAGGTGTAGTAGTTGCAGGATCTTCCTCACAATTAGTACCAATCATGGTGATGTTTGTGGTGATTTCTTCCTTGTTATTGTTGTTACATGTGGAAGGTTGGAGGGATGTTATTATCGATGATGGTGTATTTGACATTTGACTGTTTGAGGGCAGTGTATGAGAAGTTAAAGATGACGAATTCAAGTAGAGTGGTTGTATGAGATCGGAATTGTTGAGCGTTGAAAGAGTGGCTTGTGTGGGTGGAGACATGATGGCTGTTGTAGGAGGATGACAAGTGGCAGCTACATTCATCCACGAATGATTGGAGTGGTTGTTCATTGGTTGTTGCTGTTGTTGCAACAAGATCGATCCTGCAAGATCCATTTGTGGTTGTTGCTGTTCTCGATCTTGTTGAAGAGCCATTACCAAGAGTGAATTCGGATCCGAATTGTTATTATTATTATTCAATTTGTTCATTGGAAGGAGTGAAGAAGGATTGTTAAGAGACATTACAAAAGAAGAAGCATTTTGTTGTTGCTGATGAGATTGCTGACTGAGAAAGTCCAGGATCGAAGAAAAGACTTTAGGATCGAGCTGAGTATTGCTCTTATCGGGACCAATGCTCATCTTTTTGACAAGTGGCAGTTGAAGATCTGTGAAGAAATGATGTGAAATTAAAGCGATGGTAGTGCGATCTTGAAATTCAGTGATTACCGATTATTGAAGAACGTTTGTCGTTGTTGTTGAAAGAATCTTCTTGTGAATATGTATCACCTATGAATGGGTTCAAGGGGATTGAATCAAACAACAACAACGAAAATTCTCAGAGAAAGCACTGGATCGAGGTGTCGAGTGTTTTTGTTGTTCTTGAAAATTGAGAATTAATCCTCAGCTCCGATGATTTACATCTGACACTTTGATGTCTCGCTTATAATTGTTCGTTCCGATTTTCATGTTTTCCATTTAAAGTGAGAGAAGGCAAAAGATGGAATTGAATGGAGAGGAGAATTCATTGAAGTGGAAGCCGTATCCACAAAAATGGTTCAAAAAATCAAAAAGCCCATCTGCCCTATTTTTCAAACAACTCAATTTCAAATCGTTTAAAATTGAATTTATTATTTGTTGAATTGCTAAATGTTGAATCATTGAGGTTAATACATGTATTGAATAACACTTCAACAAACTTTGAATCCTGTGCTGGAGTCGTATCTCGCTCTCCATTCATCAACAACAACTAAAGCAAGTGAAACGTTCACGAGTTACCTTCAGAGTTCATTGAGTAAGAGGTTATGAAAGGATCAGCCCCAATTAATCACGAAAGGTCTTTGAATGGTGTCTCTCTTTTAAAGAGACACTCAGACTTTGATTTCACGCAAGCGTCAAGCGCTGTCAAACGTTTCCTATGAGCTCTTTTTGGATGTTGAAATGACGATTGTGCCTCACCTAGCGCATCATTTCATCATTCCTTAACATTCGTATGCATGGGTTGATTCCAAAAGATATAACTTTGGTTTTATTTCCTGAGTTTTATATGATAGTAATGAGTTCCAGCAGAAAACAAAAGAGTTGAAGAGTCCAACTTGGAAAGATATTGCTCAATATTCTCCTTGACAACGAGTCCTCCACCTCAAGTCCATTCATCATCCTCGTGTGATCCTTGTTGTTGTTGGAGGTGTCCATGTTTGTTACCTCTCTGCAACTAAGACAAGTTTAAAAAAGTTTTGCGTCGACCGGGAATTGAACCCGGGTCACGGCGATGGCAACGCCGTATTCTACCACTAAACCATCGACGCTTCATATTTGTGTCTATCATTCTTAACCTATATCTGTTTCTTCTTGATGATTTAGTGTTGACACGTGACAGGGTTTAGAGCTTGTTTTGGGTCATCACAAAAAAACAATCAATTTTTCCATCATGGGCAACAAACTCTCTCAAGCACAACGTATCATCCAAAGTGGTCAAAACTGTGACCTCGATCTCGACGAAAAAGAAATCAATAACAAGGAACTCGCAAAACTTTCCGAACTTTTAAAGGACAACAATACTTGTTATGCTCTCCATTTGAAAGCAAATAAATTTGATGAGGTGGGATTGGAAGCTTTGGCTGATGCGTTACAAACCAATCGTTTTTTGAAAAGATTGTATTTGAATAATAACCGAATTGGAGATGTAAGTGGTGGTAGTGTCAAATGTCAACAGGTTGATGATGACAGTGTCATTAACACTTTTAATGATGATCTGATGTGAATTTAAATTGCGAATCATTTAATTTTTAAATTTTTACACGCCACTTTCATTAATTTTTTCAATACTTTTTTGGTAGGTCGGATGTCAACATCTCGCCAACGCCATTAAACGTGTCACAGCTCTCGGAATGATTGATTTATCCATGAGTAACATTGGAGCTGCTGGTGCCAAAGCTCTCGGTGTCGCCTTCACACTCAACAATTCCATTCACACCATTTATTTAACAGATAACAATATCGGAAAAGAAGGATGTAAATTGTTAGCAGAAGGTTTAAAAGAAAATAAGAAACTCAAAGTTTTGGATATTTCTAGAAATGATATTGGAAATGAAGGAGCAGAAGGTTTGGCCGAAATGTTAAAAGTCAATTCTGTTCTTGAACAATTGTATTTGGTAAAGAATGGAATTTCAGCCACTGGATCCATTGCTCTTGCTGAAGCATTGGTGGTGAATAAGGGTTTGAGAAGTTTGAATTTGGATTTTAATCCAATTGGAGATGAAGGAGCAACACCCTTTATGAAAGTGTTGAGAGAAAATGACAAGATTGAAAAAATTGAATTTGATGATAAGAGTATTTCAGAAGATTGGAAGGTATGTTGGATCTTTTTATGAGAGAGGAATAATGTCGTGTACATTGGGCACACACACATTTCGTTTCATGTGAACTTTTTATTATTTGTGTTTGAATTGAAATAATTGTGTTTAAATGTATGCTTCAAACTTAACCATGAATGGACGGCTATGAAACTGGAATACATTCAGAATGAATTTCGTATGAGATTGCAAAGAAAACAAGAAGTTCGTTAATTGGGCGAGTGAAAGCAGTTGCTCAACCCTTCCATTTCCTCCATCATATTATAATGTGTAACAATATTATCAACAGAAATACTAGTAAAATGATAGAACAACAAACACATGACTTTTATGTGCAATTGCAGTCATTGTGGGTGAAATTGTTGACAACTTTTAAAGAACAAATTGAATCTAGAAAATACTTGCAAATTTCATATAGCTTTTGCACATTCAAACTCAACGAAACTGTAGATGTGTCCAGAATGGATTTTATTCAAATCATATATCTTTTCTTATTCCTTTTGTGGAGGATTGTTGAGTTTTTCCTTTGTCTTTTCTTTAAGTGCAATCATCTTACCAATCTTTTCTCCACTAAGTCTGTGCAATCTCTTCTTTCTCCACAATACTTTGAATTCGTTACCAAACCAATCGCTACAACCTCCTCTATAGTTAATGGTGTTTTGGAAGCCCATATCTTGTAACATGAGACATGCAGCCTCACTCTCAGCAGGATTGTCACTGTAGCAAATAATATTAGTGTACTCTTCTGGTAATGGAGCATTATATCTCTTGTTGAAGGCTTCAGCTTTCAATGCAAAACTTCCTTCCTTGATTTCTGTGAATGGAATATTCACAGCTCCAGGAATCATGTAATCCAAAGCACGGAATGCAGAACGAACATCCACAACCAAATAATTATAGACATCTCTTGGCTTTTTCATGATTTCTTCCAACTCTGGTTTAGTAATGACTGGTGAAATTCTATCAGCAAAGTAAGGAATCATGTCAAAAATACAAGGAATGTCTGCAATTTTCTTTCCTTGCACAGTATTTCTAAAGTATGGTGGTTCTCTCTCCTCTTCCCACAACAAGTCATATTCTCTTCTGTAGGTACGTTTGTTTGATTCCTCTTGAGCCAAGCGTTGTGCCTCTTCAACATCAAAATCAATAGCAACGTCCTCAGTAGTTCCCGTGTATTGTTTCAATTTGTTCAAAATACGGTCTGAAATTTCATTTTCATTGCCTGTTATTGTGCTCTCGTCTTCGTTGCTTTCGTCCAAAGTATCTTCTTTCCTATTTTCATCACGGGTTGGTATATTGATGTGGTAATTAGCTCCCTGATGATGATGAATACTACCGTTCAACAAGATGGATGCTACATGTGATGATGATGATGAAAATACTAAATAATGATTTGATGATGCCGAGTGATGGTGAGAGGTGGCCCGCTTGGCGCTCTCCACAGCAAGCCTTCTGAATGTTTGCAGCATTTTTGAAATATTTTTTAAAAAAAATTGTTTGTGGTTTGAGGTGAATTGTTTTTGAGGCTCTTTTATTGGAATATTGCGATCCTTTTGGAGGAAGAAAGCAGCTGGTTGTATGGTTGTTGTTGTTGTTGTGTTGATTGAAGGAGTGTCTTTGTTTCATCAACTCATTGGATCAGAAATTATTGAAATTTTTTATTTTAATCGTTGAAATAACTGAAAGTAGAGAACACCACTTTCTCCTTATTGACCTTACAGCCGCAATCCCATCTGGCTTATCATGCCCACGCTAGAGCAATCGGTATCTCCTGAACTGAATATTCAGAAACATCAAAAAAACAAATTCCGAAACAATGTTCATGAAGAGGTTCGTCCTCATTCAACGACAGAGACTGAGATCTCATCAAGCCCTCATCACTCCATTAAAGAAATTATAAATCCAACCTTGAGGGAAGCCCTAGAAGCTTTAACTTTGAATTTACAAACTTTTATGAAATACATCGATTATCATGAAAAAAAGAATGGTCATCAAACAATTTTTGGAATGTCAACCTCTCTTAATACCGTATCAACCAGCAATAGCATCTCACTTTCGATGGGAAACATTGATAAAACGAATGCTGTATCATCTTCAATCAACTATGAATATCTTCAAATTGATCCTCAATGTATTGGTGACGACGAGATTATTCTAACAGAAAAAGAATACAAACAATTAGAGGAAATATATTTTAATCCAATCAAGTATCTCTCAGAAACTTTGAAAATATTGAATGAAAGGAATGTTCACGAAGAGGAATATCGAGAACATTCTCATTTTGAGGCAGGTGTCAATAGTGACGAATTGGAAAATAATCGAACCACATCAAACACTTCGAACCTTCTTCCGACTCCTCTAATAATCAAAGGAAGAGCTCGAAAACGAACCTACCACTAAACTCACCTGTTAATATTACTTTTTATTTGATCGAAATTATTGTTTTTGTAAAATTTTCAAATACAAATGAGAAAATCCTCAAATAGTCAAAAAACCTGTTCGCAAGAACATAATTAAAAGCTCAAAAAAATGCTTAGAGGAATATTCATCTCCACTCTCCGATTATTGAATAGTAACAGTCCAAATAATTCACCTTTGAGTACTGCTGCTGCTGTAAATGATATTTCCTCTCTGAAATTACCTGTTGTTGCTCAAGCAGGACCATACAAGGTCACTTTAGAAGAAGGAAAGAGATACTCATGGTGTACATGTGGGCTATCGGAAAAGCAACCTTTTTGTGATGGCAAGTGAGTATGAAATTCATTGGTGCAAATTTCGAATGTGAAAATATTATATCGTGATCGTATTGCTATTGAATTTTCTTTCTGATTGTTATGAATGGTTCTTCATGATGACGCAATTTTTGTAATTTATTTTATTGTGAAAATTTATTTTAATGTGAATGAACCCATCTTATGCCCGTTAAAGGCATAAAGGAAGTGGCATGAAGGTATGCAATTAATTGTTATCAGTATAATAATTTTAATATTTTTTATTTATTTTTTTATTTATTGGAATTATTACTAAATTGATCAATGTTGTCCAAATTCATTGAAATCACCATTCAACAACTCAGTCTCTTAAATTTGAGGCAACTCCAGAAATGTGTAAAGAAGTTTATTTATGTGGATGCAAACAAACTGCAAACCCTCCATTCTGTGATGGAAGCCATTCTAAATGTGAGGTGACTTCTAGTAGTAGTCAAACATCACCAAGCAGTGGTGGAACTTCTCAAACATCCACAGAGGGCGATCATTAAGGTTTCATATAAGACATTATCCTTGTCATCGTCCACGTTCTCTCAAGTCTTGCCATTTGCTCGTTTTCCATAAAATGTTTTTTCAATTAAAAACTCAAGTAATAATCAAAATCATGATTCAATTTTCATTCCTCAATAAATAACAACACATGCTAATCTTGATACCAAAAAACTACTGAAAATCTCTCTGCATGATCCAGATTTGGATTTCTCTTCTGTATCTCAGGACGAATGCCATGCACATACTTGTAACGAATGTCATCGGCCAAAATGATCAGAGATCCATTCGGTAGAAATACCCTCAATTCGTCAGGACATGCCTGAACTTGCTCAATGGTATAGTTGGAAGGAGGATCCAACAAGAAGCTCATCGTTGCATCATTTCCAAAGGAGAGCAGACCTATGGTGGGTCCCAGCCCTCGGCTGTCGATATGAAGAGGACATCCACTCTTTTCAATATGTTGGTAATGATTGAATTGGATTGTGTTTGGAATGATGTTGGGTGTTTTGGCCGTCACTAAATCTTGTAAAGACATGACTGTTCGGAAAGTAGCATCTCGAGTCCTTTTATAAAAGTAGGGTGCTAGTGATTGAATGTACGAAAGCAAGGTTGGAAAGTACATGTCGGCACATCGCTTCACTTGAGCCTCTGAATGAACATTGAAAATGGATCGCTTCAGAGCAGGATTTGCAATAAAAGGTTGGTGTTGATAGAGGCTTTTCAATTCGTTCCAAATGGTGTTCAAATGATTGGGATTGGAAATGAATGTTGGATGGTAGAAAGCAGTTGGAGGTATTTCTTTGAGTGAGGGATTGAGAATGGAAGCCGCGGATTGATCGCCGAGGGACGATGGCAATGAAGAGAGTTGCATTGTTGAAAGTTTCGGCTGCGAGGATGACAAAATCTTGCCCATTGTTTGTCTCATTTTTTAATGCTTATGTTTTCAACTTTTACAATTTCCAATCCTAGACCACCATCATTTAAAACATTTGATTTTTGAATATTATTGTTTATGTTTATTTTAGAAAGTTTGTTTAATAGCCAAATTCAGCCAACTTCTTCACAACATTTTGGAATTCAGTGTTTCCACTCAATTGAGAGACAGCTTCAGTCTTGAGCTTATCAAGTGCCTTCACTTCAGAAACATATTGTTGGTTTTGTTGCTTTCTTTGCTCTTCGAATTTAACAACAACATCATGATACTTCCAACCCATTCTCTTCAACAGATCTCCGAGTCTTGTAACAGGAGAAGATGGCTTGAGAATAGTAACAGCGAGAGCAGATGGGCAGACATGTCTCTTAACTTGATTGTATTGAGATGGGACACCATCATAGAGTTCCAATCTAGCCAAAGCTTCTCTTCCTCTTTCAGTCTTTCTTGGGACCATAGCTCTAATGACCTTGAAGAGATGTTGGGATGGAGCTCTGTGGTGGAATGGACCCTTTCTTGGGTTGGTGTTCATTCTCTTTCTCAAGTATGATTCATAGGCAACCTTGTTTCTCTTCATCTTTCCTTGCAAGAGAAGTTCTTCACATCTGACGACAACAACCTTCTTTCCAGCCAAGATTTCCTTTGAAACGTTGGCAGCAAGACGACCAAGAATGTGGCCCTTGCCGTCGAGCACGATTGTTCTGTTTTGGGTCGACATTATTGATGGTGTGAGTTTAGTTTCGACGTATTTTTTTTCAACAAATTTTTTTAAAATTTTTTAGTCAACCCAAGTTTACAATGAAAAAAAAATGGCATGACAGAAACGAAAAACAATAATATTATTGACGATGATGACCGAAGAGAGGTTGATTCGAGCCTGAATAATATTGTGGATGATAATCCAAAAAAAGGAACAATACCAAGCAAAGAATGAATAATTATATTCAATAATGAGAATATTCAATCATGTTTGAGGAATTCATACGGGACCATGGTTGCTAAAGTGAGCTTACTTTCTCGGATTGAGGAGATGATAATTCCTATGTTCAACTGCTTTCTATGATGGTATTTGAGAATATGATGATTCCTATTATATCATCATTCCTATCATCGTTCAAAAAACACACAAAAAGAAAAATGAAACCACAACTCGAAGATCTTCCCGATGAGGTCTTGCATCATATCGGAAGCTTTATCATTGCTCGAGATGAGACTCTCTTGCAATCCTACTTTGGAGAGTTTGTACGAGGCGGAGGAGCCTCTTTTACATGCTCAAAAAATCGTTTGTTTTTGAATGCTACTCAATTCTACTTGGGCGTGTTGGGTGCCTTGAACAAGAACATGTATGATCGAGTTCGTAGTCATCAAGGCTTCTTCTGGATGAATAACTTGTTTGTATGGAATGCCACCAAACAAATGGATGCATCATGCAAGAGTCATGCTAAATTTGATGAGATTGTACGAAACTATTGGCTTTATGAAAAACCAAGTGAGGACGATGAATCGGAGGACATCGATGAGGAAGATTTTGACTCTGAGGAGGAAAACGATGAAGAAGAATTTAACTACAAAGACTTTCATGAAACAAGAGTCTCCCTTCATTCAGAAGAGGACAAGAATGCAATCGAAAGAACCGACCTTATTTCAAACTTTTTATTACTGAACTCTCAATGTCAATTTCGAAAAATATTCATTCAGGGTCATGCAACCTTTTTTAATTCTCTGTTCACGCACACAACACAACGGATTTTAGAGCGAGAATTATCGACAAAAATTTCAAGTCAACCTTCACCAGCCATCACACCAATCCTTTTTCCATTCCAATTCTTGCACGAATTATATCTTCATACCAATGACATTAATTTGTTTTCTCTCTTTGATATGATTGTGAAATCGACATGTCCCTCTCTGAAAAGACTTCACGTCATGGCTAGGAAATTTGCCAAGTTTCAAGAGACAGGAGCGAGCCATCATCCACATGACAGCCCTCATGGTGCTCACATGACATACTTGCCTCTCACTTCTCTTCGAATTCTATGCCATACCTATAGCTTTAAGCAACCAAATGTTAAAACTCAATCTACAACACTTTCTCAGGCATTGGGGCTATATCTTCCTCATTTTCCAATGCTCCAAGAAATTTTCTTGCCATTTTGGACTCCTGATATTTTACAACTCGTTGCAACCTCGTGTTTTCATATCAAAGATTTGGTATTGCATGGTGGTACTCTAATGAATGGCTCCTATGACGAGGTACTTGAACTCATATGCCAAAATATTATTGCACTGGAGAGGTTTATCATTTGGAGAAGTGCACTGAGTGGTTTCTATGTGGACATTGGGCAGGCATTTTTCACACGAATTTTCGATCATTTCCACCATACGTTGAGAGAATTCTCTGTAGCAACATCTCTCTCGCGATTTTCCTCGTTGAATGACACAGATGCTCATTTTGCATGCAAACTAAGAATGCCCTCACAATTACGAACACTCATCATTGAGAACCTTGAGGATCATTACTACAATTCAGGAACTCCACTTGGAGTCATGAATTTGTTGGCCAATATTTTCTCCAATAATGACACATGCTCTCAAAACAATTTGGAGAACATTTTCATCTCATTGAGACACTACAGATTATCAAATTTGGATTTAATTACAAACAACGTAAAATGCCTGCATCTCAATATTGAAAACACAATGGAAGTCATAACGAAGCTTTCGCAGAGACCTCATGCATCCTTAATACGAGACCTCTATATCCAGATTCATTGCAACGATGACCTTGAAAAGTTAATGACAGCACTAAAGACCAAATTTTTTTCGGGTCTCCGTCGATTGAAGTTGTCCGTAGAACCTACTTCTTATGGAGAACAAATCGATCTATTCAAATTGATGCAACAAGTAGCTCATCTAGAAGCGTTGGAGCTTGTTAATGAGCACCAAGTCGCATATTCTCAAAAATTTTCTCCCTTTTACGAAAATGAAATCTCTTTAATTAATGTTTATCGAGCTGTTCCAACAAGTGATTGGATGTGGAACACATGGTCAGGACAAGATATTCATAGTCAAATCCCACAACACTCCTCAATAACGAACTTGAAAGAATTTTCAATATTTACAAGCTCAAAAATGCTCCAGGCTGCCATTCCTCGTTTGCCTAATTTGACTCGTCTCTGTATTGAGGTTGTCAATATCGAGAGTTTTGGATGCTCAACTTGTGATATGGTTTCGACAATTTCCTGCACCTTACATGACCTGAGATACTTTAAGATTGGCTTTCTTGGGACGAGCCAATCATTCTCAAAGAGAGGACAACAATATCCAATTTCTATTATGGCCAATATTGAGCAAAGTAGAGTCGATTTAAGAGATATGAACTCTGTGGATGCCATTAGAATCATCATTTTGTTTTATATCGTCACATTTCGTGGACTATTTTCGTTTTCATCTTTTACAAATGATGGCTTTGTTGTAGCATTTGGTCACAAGCCAAAAAAATCTGAAATTGCAACATTGTTAGAGTTGGAATTTGACAAGGCTGTAGACAATTGTTCCTTCGAGGAGAAATCTGACCCAATATTGATGGCCAACATGAAAAAAGCATTTATTGAGGAAATGATTGAAAAAGCAGTTGAAAAATAATGAACAGATATTTCACACAGCAAATGATTCATAAACGTTAAATAGGATAATAGGTTTTGCATTCTCAGTATCTTTTAAATCTTGGTTCGTTTTGTTGAAATGTCATCATCACAACTTTCTAAGGTTGGATCTAAATGATCATGCTTTCGTTTCAATGCATTCTGGTCGTCTCCAAAGCAATTATTTAATTCTTGCCTTTGATCGCTCTCCACCATTTCTTCACCTTCTTCTTCGTCGGTAATGTCATCCTCCTCCTCTTCCTCTGGTTCCCAATCATCTTCATACCGAGTACTCCAATATTGAAACCATTGACTAAAATACTCTTCTCCCTTTTCATGAGCAAGTCGTAACAACTTGTAACATCGTTTCAATCGTTCAGACACATAATGAATGGCACACTCGTTTTGTTGAATTGCCAATAGTGCCAGCTCTTCATTATCTTTCAAGGAAGGAGATGCAAATTTCAGAGAGAGTCCATCGTTCATGAGTGCTTCCTTGACCACATCTTCATCATTTTTCAATGCTTCACACGCACCTTTCAAGCAATGACCAGCTCTTCGTACCGCTTCCAACACAATTTCCTTATCGTGTAATAAAAGGTGTGAATTTTTAACATGGATCAACACTTGTGGTTCAGTGCGAACTGCCTGCAATATCACTTCTCGATCTTCCCTCAATGCTTCACTGGCAAACTCGAGAGCGAATCCACAGTTTGAAACTGCTTGCATGACAATTTCACGATCATTCTGCAATTCATCACTGGCAAATTCGAGTGCAAGTCCATCATTTTTCACAGCTGTTAAAACGACTTGTGGATCATTCTGCAATTCAGCACATGTCCATCCAAGTGCCAATCCGTACGTGGAAACGGAAGTTAACACCACTTGTTGATCATTTTGTAATTCCTCTGGGAGAAACTCAAGTGCCATGCCAAAACGAGTCACTGCTTGGAGGGCAACTTCCTTATCTTCCTTAAACTCTTCATCCGCATATTGAATGGCCTCTCCACACTCTGAAACTACTCGTAAAATAAAATCTCGATCGAAAAATAATGAATTTCCACAATAGCATAGTGCTTCTGGATCCTCTCGAATCGCTTCCATCACTACTTGTTCATCATTAATGAGTGTATTGCTGGCATAACCCAATGCAAGTCCACAATTTTTAACTGCAGCAAGAACGAGATCCTTATCGTTTTTTTCAGAACCCTCACAAAAGCAAAGAGCTTCTCCACATGTTTTTACAATTTTAGAAAAGTCAATCGAAGGAAAATAGGTTAAGTTAAAATTGTTAAACAAAAAATAGCTATCTTCTCGTGTAGCTAGCTCAATAACATCTAATTCATGACAAAATTTTTCTGACAGGTATTCAGAACAATCAGGATAAGTTCGAAGAGCCTCTAATATAGTTCTCTTGTTCAAATACTCATCTTCATCTCTATAGCTGTCTAAAAGAATTCCATAAAACTTGACAGCTCTGTGAAAGGCACGTGATGTCATGATGTCATGAACAAATCAGTCTGGCATTGGTATTAATTCAAATATTTCGGGAGCAGTTTTAGAGGCCGTTTCAATAGTATCCAAGTCAAGAGGACATTCATACAAATGTTGCAGACAAGATCCATCATTCTTAACAGCCACTTTGATATCTTCATCATGAATCTCATATTTGTCCATTTCTAAATGTTGCAAGACATTACCATCTTGATGGAGTGCAGCTTGAATGATCTCATCCGTCCATAACAACGTATATTTCAACGCTTGTCCATTTTGTTTCACTGATGTCATGACAATTTCTTCATCGCAATTTCTTAAAACATCATTTGCATATTTAAGTGCCAAACCATCGGATTCCACCATTCGCAACACAATTTCTCGATCTTTTTTATTTTCCTCACACGCTTCTTTCAACAATTTACGATTATACTTTCCAATTTGTAATAACATTAATTTTTCATTCAAGATCCGTAAACGTTCATTCCGAGCCTGTTCCATGTTGTGTTTCAATTGTTGATAAAGAAAATCATCTCGGAGAAGATGCTTCTGATCCAATATCACTGAACCATCCCATAATTTTACAATTACTACGTGATGATGATGATTTGGATGATTTGAAAGATTAGATTGATCATGCACTTGGTGCCATCGTGAATTTTCTTGTTGATGCAAAGACATTTTTTCTATACGAATCATTATGTACGACTACATAATCATAATCGTTGATCTCATCCTCTTGTTATTAACAAGTTGATTTTCAGTGAGTGGTGTCTAAGCCTTGTCGACCGATGGAATCCATCTTTCATCAAAAAAGCGTACACAAAAAGGCTACAGCACTGCAGGTTCCCAAGTTGTCTCCAACCTCAGTACTGATGCAGCTCGACGATGCTTAACTTCTCAAATCGGACGGGATGAGGTGCATTCATCGTGATATGGCCGTAGCCATTCGTTACTAAACAAAGAATCTCAAAAATCAAGTGATTAGATGTTAAGACTGATCAAGCAACATAGGGTTTTGCTGATGCTCTCTCTATTTAAATCTTAATTCCTCAATGATCAACAATCAAATTCCACTCTCGAAATAACGCCATCAATTCATCCTTAATGTTTTCACTTTGAGTATCAAAAGGCCGATCGACATTCATAATTATTTGAGGCAAGTTACATTTTCTTATCATTTCCATACATTTCTTTTCCGTTTGAGGACTAATGGCTGAATAGCAACTTTTTAACTTTCTCATACGTGTCACAATTGTCGGTGAAAGGCTCGTTTTAATCTCGATACCAAATCTACCATATTTATCATAGCTAATGGCATTGTGTAACATTCTATTAAATAAACAATAATTATTATCATGTCTCAATTCGAATAACATATTTCGAAAGACTTGTAATGCATTCTTGGATTGATCTTTGGGAGAAAGAAAGAAATCAAATAAATCAGTCGTGCACCCAATTCCATACAATATATTTTCTCCAAGATTGCTCGTACTCATTGAGATCCAGGATATGTTGTCACTTGAATTTGTAGAATTACTTTCATTACTGTTCTTACCATTCAATTTGTTGACTGATCACCAACTGGTTTCAAGTGTGGTATCAACTACCAACTGTTGTTCCTGGAGGTGACTTGGCAAAGGTTCAACGTGCTGTCTGCATGATTTCCAACTCGACTGCTATTGCTGAAGTCTTCTCAAGAATTGACATGTTCGACTTGATGTATGCTAAGAGAGCATTCGTCCACTGGCATGTCATGGTGAAGGTATGGAAGAAGGTGAATTCTCAGAAGCAGTCAGAGAAGACTTGGCTGCCTTGGAGAAGGACAATGAGGAAGTCGGAACTGAATCCCATGAGGGTGAAGGTGAGGACGGTGAAGGTGCTGAAGATCAATAAATCTCTTTAATCTTTCAAATCATGTTAAGTGAATGCATATTTGAAATTCCTACGTCGCTCATGAGCGGGTGGACTGGTCTGTTGTGATGAGGGATTCATCAGCCATTCTTGATCTCGGGTGGATAGTGCGCATTTTTTAAACATTGAATGCGCACTTTCAAAAATCTCAAACAAGGAGAAACACTTTCGGGTCAGTTTCCTCGTTGTGGCGCAATAACGGTCCAACCACTCAACAGAAAATGCTTAAAAATCGGACCTCATGACATTTCAAAAAAGAAATAATAGCTTCACTGTTATTGAAAATATTCATCAGCTTTATTCTTCAGCTCTCATTAGAATGGTTCTCAAGTTATATGGTCCATATTATTCAACCTGTGTTCAACGTGTAGTCGCCACTCTCAAAGAAAAGAATCTTGATTTTGAGTTGATCCCTCTCGATTTGTTCAAGGGCGAACATAAACAAACTGCGTTCCTTGAAAAGCAACCTTTTGGAGTTCTTGTACCAGTTCTTGAAGATGACGGCTTTTTGGTTTATGAATCTCGTGCCATTTGCAGATATTTGGAAGCCAAATTTAAGGGCCACGGCACTGAATTGATTCCATGTGGCACCTGCACCGAAGGTTTAAAAAAGAAAGCTCTCTTCGAACAAGGTACTAGCATTGAGACCTCCTATTTTGATCCCCAAGCAAGTGGATTGACCTTTGAATGGTCTTTAAGAATTTATTCAAATGGGGCGAAGTCGATCATGCACGTGTTCAACAACTCAAGGAAAAACTCGCCTCCGTGTTGGATGTCTATGAAAAGATTTTGGCTAAACAAACTTACATTGGAGGAAATCAATTCACTTTGGCCGATTTGAATCACTTGCCTTATGGAAATTTCTTGTTTCATCCTAATATCAATGTTGGACATTTGATTTTGAAACGTCCTCATGTCAAAGCATGGTGGGAAAAGATTAGCAAGAGAGAATCATGGGTCCAAACGATGAAATTGGCTGGTAATTAAGAATGGAATTGGGATTGGCCAACAATCGAATTCAAAATTGTGTATTTCTTATTATGAATTGAAGATGAATAAAATCCTAAAGAATGATACACAAATTCCTTGCTTGTGTGATTGAAAGAACAATATTATATATATTTCAAAGTCATGAAATCTGAAAATGTTAAACTTGTCTCGAACATGATTGTCCTTCAAAATGATATAGCTCGCATAGGTCGTAAATTCCACAAAAAATGTCTAGTGTGCCATTCAATTATTGAAAATTTGTTGTCGAATAAAATCTGTCGAAACAGTGAAACTTGCAAAACGAGTTATCAAACGTTCTTAAAACAAAGATTACAGTGAAAACAATGATTGCCAAAAGCTCTTCTTTTGAGGTTTCCAATTGATCCATGAGATGAGTTTTCTCTTCGTGTGAAAGTTTGGAATTGTCTCGAATTTGTTTCTTCAACAAACGTTGAAAAAGGAGAGGTGAAAAATTCACTACTTGATGATACAGTGTAGAGAGTTGTGGAATGGAATTCAATGGAAAATTTTGAGACTCGTTCATGAATAAATTCGATTTCAAATAAAACCACTGAACGAGTTTTTCAACTTTTTGGTAATACTCTTTGGTACGAAGTTTACAAAAATCTGAAACGAGTCCTTGGAATTGGCCATGCATTTTGGAAAGCAATTTGTCTCTATAGACACGATCATGTGAAGCGCTCACAATAGAGACATGATTGTGGTGTTTGAAATAAGAATAGTACTGATGTAAAATCATGCGTCGAAGAAATTTGAAAAACTTATCAATTCCTTCCAAATGACTGTCAAGATATCTGTATGAAAAATAATAATTCGAATCCATGAATATTTTGAATTCAGATTAATGTAAAAACATTTCTCACTTGTAAGTCCACATGATATTTGAAAATTCACAAATCCAAAATGTGGAGCGTTCAAATACAAGTGATAAAACCACACTATACATTTGGCCATACAATTTCATATCAGATTCCAACATGTCCAAAAACACGTGTCTCATTTGTAATAACACTTGTTGCAACACTTCATGTGTTTCTCTCTTATTTTCGTAATCAAACACTTGTCCATGAAGTACAGTCTCGAGACTTGAAAAAAAGGGAAATATAAAATCGACCACATTCAATAATATTTCTGGAGGTAATTCAAGAAATCGGGTTGTATTACTCCGGAGAGGAGAGAATGGTCGTCAAACTCGACATGTTCGTACTCTTCTTCGTCATCATAATCATGTGAGAAAGAAGTTCTTTGGAGGAAAGTGGCTTGAACATTTTTTCGAAACACTTTTTCAATTACAGACATAGTAGCTCTAAATGTTGATTCCAGTATTCACCACCATGTCAATTTTGGTGAAGTTTCAATGTCAGCCTTCAGATCTCCTCATATCTGGAAAATGCATAATATTATTTGCTGAAACCACAAGTTGAATGCAAGTTTCAAAAGTTTCAACAGGTATCCTATTCAAACTTCCTTGTACTTTGAGGCAAGTTGTGTAATTCTAATACCGCGAACTGCTCATGGATCAGAAGCGATTGGTGGCGAAAATCTACCCTTGCCTTTTTGATGCTTGTATTTGGAGGGCATCTTTTCCCCCAAAATGATTTTTGAGATTCTTTATTTAGTAACGAATGGCTACGGCCATGTCACGATGAATGCACCTCATCCCGTCCGATTTGAGAAGTTAAGCATCGTCGAGCTGCATCAGTACTGAGGTTGGAGACAACTTGGGAACCTGCAGTGCTGTAGCCATTTTTCATACTGGAAAACAAAGAAACTCTTGATGGTATTACGTTTTTATTGATATTCGTACATTAGAATTTTAGAGTGACATAAGGTCGTTTACTTTTTCATCTTCGATTTTGTAATTTTCGAAGAGGAAGGACAGCAAGCTCAATAAATAACCATCACTTTCAGCTCGGAAATTCATCAACAAACAAAAACAACAATTCAAGTAACAACTATTCACTAACAACATCATCATGGACTCTAGAACATCACCAAATTATTCCTCATCACGATCTAGCACTGATGAGAAAATTCCAACAAAAACCGAATGGGTCCGATTCCAACCTATTGATATTACCAAACGATTACCAAATTTTGATATTGATCCACGCAATGTGGTGAGTGGAACCCGACGAAGAAAGAATTTGGATTATCATGTCTCTAATTTAACTGGAATGCAAGTCACTGTGAAACGATCCTCAAAGAATACTTTGGAAAAGAGGTCATCCATTTTTTTGTGGAATCCTGAATCTGCTGGAAATTCTCAACAAAACTGGAAGGACATTCAAAAATAAATTCATGATGAAAATGAATGAAGAACGAAATCAACAACAAAGAAAAGAGCTAATCATTGAATTCGACAAAACATAATCAAAATGGTCTGCACAAGAAGCAACAAGGGATACAACAATTACTCTTTCGAAATTTCCATGGATAATATTGTCGGAGGAACAAGACAACGAAAACAATTCAATTATCGCGTGATGCACCAATATGGTGACGATCATGATGCATCGGAAGTCATGAACAACCATTACTTCTCTTCACGACCCTCTCATAATACTTTGGAAATGAGAAATAAGACTTTCCGAAAGTAAGAGCTATCATTGAATTGACCTGAGAGAGAGCAAACAATATATGCTCTCACCAGGTTTCTGTTTCATTCATTCAGAATTTGATGTTTGTTTGTCCAAAAAAGGCCATTTAGTGAATGTGAACTTTCAAGTTCTGACAGTATTGCTGAACCACATTCCACTGCACAAATTTTCATCAATTCAACTGGAATAAATTCATCATTCCACCTCTACACCTAATTCAACAACCTCTTCTGTTAAAGAACAAACAAAGGCTTTTGCTTTTGTCACTCACGGTTCATACAGTCAAAGACTGTAGCGGGAGTGTCGCCATATTCCTGGCAGGCATCCCGTCCAAAACAAATCAAGAGAAAGTATCCAAGTATTAACACTGACTTATGACTAATTCTCTTAAGAGAATCATCGATTTATTTATTTAGGTCACGGTTCTTTAGTGATGTGTGTGAACAGCATTCATTTCATCATCAGATGATTCAGATCATTGCATTTGTTTGAACGAATGTGCGTTTCCTTCTCTGGATAGAGTTCCTAAAGGTGGGAATCGTTCAAGGTTGTGGCAAAATATTTGGTGGATATGAATCTTGATGCTGAAAATTTGTATGGTGAAGATAGGAACTAAAAAAGGCTACAGCACTGCAGGTTCCCAAGTTGTCTCCAACCTCAGTACTGATGCAGCTCGACGATGCTTAACTTCTCAAATCGGACGGGATGAGGTGCATTCATCGTGATATGGCCGTAACCATTCGGTACACCTGCAAAGGAATAATTATTTGGAACCAAAATGGTAATGAAATTGTCCTTGCATGATCTTTCGAAAGTAGATGAGAGTTTGTATTGCCTTTGAGGCAAGTTGTGTAATTCAAACACTGCGATCTGCTGACGGCTCAGAAGTGATTGGTGGCGAAAATCCACCCTTGCCTTTTTGAAAGGACAAAAGAAATCATTTGTTGCTTTGACTTTTAACAACACTCGAGAATGACCAATTTTCTTATTCAACAACAAATAATGATTCACTAATGTTTGGATGTTCGATTGGGTCGATTCTTCAAACAAATAAAATTTTATTTAATATAATTATGGATCAACTATTGACACAACAATTTATTACCTCACCACATGATTGTAAATGCAACATTAAAGAACACCCTTGTACTTCATATCAGATCCCTTAATGTGATTCACCAACCATTGCTTAATGAATTGAATTTCAGCATCTCCAACACTCTTCAAATTCAAAGCATCTTGAACAAACTTATCATGAGTCTCTTTATGAGAAGCAGAATCAGAGAAATTCACCTTTGCGAATAAATCTTCCTCAGTCTTGAAATGCACAACGACAAAATCAAGTAATTCCTTCAATGCGGAAGCACTGGATCTGTTGGCGTCTAAAGCGTTGATGAGAGCGAAAAGCTTTTTGTGTTGTTCATTCAGTTCATTGTTACCAACGCAGAAAGAAGAGTCCCAGTTAAATGGTGATGGAATAGTAGTGGCCATTGTTGTTGTTGTTGTTGTTGAAGGTTGTTGTCGAGTGTTTTTTATTTGTTGTGACAACTGTCGTGACATGTGGCGTTTTTAAAGTGTTCGGAAAGTGTGTCACTACTATTTGGGGAAAAGTTTTAAAAATCTCCTTATTTGATGAAATAAAAGATGTCAGCAGCAAAACCGTCGTATTGTAACGGACAGTCAACCTTAGAGGCAAGTTGTGTAATTCAAACAATGAGAAGCGTGATGGAATGCTGAATATCCTCCCTTTCCTTTTAAAGAACCATGGGAATGAAACCTGATAATGAATCGAGTTATTTCTACCTTTAGAAAAAGTTTATGTAGAAGAAGAACAAAATATTTGGAAAAATTGAAGTAACAATCACTAACAAAATAATTCTATGTAAAAGGAGATAGCAAAGCTAGGTTTCGATCCTAGGACCTGTGGGTTATGAGCCCACCGCGCTCCCCCTGCGCCACTTTGCTTTATATCTTTTATATATATAACACGCATCTCAAAATTTAACAGTTCCACTTGTTTCTATTTTTGGAAGTTCCGATCTTTAGCTGGAGTATGTGTTTGGAAGAGCAAGATGAAGAAGAGGACAATGATGATGCTCAAGAGATTGAGGTCATTGAAATTGAAAAAGTTGTCTTTGAGTACTTCTCATAAAAATTAAGAAGAAACATATCAAGCATCATTTTGGAAACATTTACATTAAGGTGAGAATATTTTTCAATCAGAACAATATGTCTTAAACCACGACCGTGTACGTAAAGGATCGACAAACCTGACAACCAACACAAAATCCCTAAAGTTTTTCTGCTTGCCTCTTCTTCATAGTACGCACATACAATGCAATGACCACCACAACAATCAAAGGCCAAAATGGATCCTACGGTCGATAAAACAATGGCCAAAATGGTCGCACTATTATCGATAGATCCATTCGAAGATTGGGTGGGGTTTGTCGCTCTCTTAAAATTCTGGTCGATCACTCCAAACGAAGTCAAATGGTATGTCTTGCAATTCATGTTAAATTTTACAGTCTTGGTGGTAATTTCCAAATTGGAGACTTCTGACATGAGTCCATCCAAAGACCATTCTTTCTTGTTCTCATCAAAATACATGCAAGAATAATTGATATCCTGATAACTGGTACTTTCAATGACAATATTAGAAAAAGTCAATTCAATAGGGTCTTTCAATTCTGAAATGGCAATTTTAGAACCCGACTTGTCATATAAGGAAATTGTCAAAACAGAACTCACTAGTGGTGCCTCAATCTCTGAGCGACTTTCCTTTGTTGCAATGGGTTGATAAATCGAAGACAATAAAGTCACCTTCTCGCTTGCATTCAAACCCTTTTCAATCAAGTATTGCGAAAAAGTCGATGGAAATTGAGCTTTCACATTTTCATCTTTTGTAAAATTAATCCATTTCGCGCCAAGATCTTGCAATGTTGGAATGATTTCACTCTTTGTTTGAGTTTGTTGTTGAGGATTGGATCCATCTTGTGGACACGAGAAGGAAGAACTTGAACTGTTAAATAAATTGGTTTGCACAAAATGGAATGGTACAATCGAGTCCGTAAAATCCATTCAAGCATTGACACTTGTCAGGTGAGAGACAAGAACCGCTTCCCGAATTGCAAACTAAATTGGAATCGTTGGAAATTCCAAAACAAATGGGGACGTCACATTTTGAAGCATAACCAGTGTATCCAAGTGGACATGGGGCATTCTTCGGTAGGGTTATTCCAATAAAATCCATAGCCACACGATGGAGAAAGTAATCGTAACCTTCCGTTTTGGGTATCAACAAAAATAAACTTCTCCATTTAAGGTAATACTTAAAGAATGAGGTCCGTTCAGTTGGGTCTCTCTCGCATCGACTCCGATTGCTTCCTGCTGAGCACTATTTGGCACAAATCCTCCAATTCCGTTTCCTGCTACTGTTGTGATCATTCCAGTCTGCAATGAAATTCTTCGAATTCGATGATTATTCGTATCTGCAATAAACAAGTACTTTTCTGTCACTGACAATAACAATGAAGTTGGATAGTTCAATTGACTCTGTGTAGACTGAATAAAGTCTCCATTGTATCCTGCAGTGCCAGTTCCTGCAAGAGTGACAATGGTTCCATTGGTGAGAATTTTTCGCACTCGATGATTTCGAGAATCTGCAATAAATACTTCACCAAGTTTGGAAACGACCACACTGGTGGGTGAGTTGAGCATGGCGCTCTTGGCATCTGAAAAATCTCCATTGTAACCTGCAGTTCCAATGCCTGCAATGGTGTCAATACTTCCAGTCGATGTTGTAATTTTTCGAATGCGATGATTTTCTGAATCGGCAATATAAATGGAACCATCCACACTATTTGAAAAGACGCTTTTTGGGAAGAAGAGACGAGCATTCACTGCTAGACCTCCATCACCAACTCCTCCTACGACAGTGGACATCACGCCACTTGTCAACGAAACCATTCGAACTCGATTATTATTGGCATCTGCAATATATAATAATTGATCATCAACAGTTGGAGTAAACAAGGCAACATCCATCGGTCTATTGACTTTTCTACTCGTTGCCAAACCTTCTCCATCAAAACCACAAGCTCCATATTGTAAATTCAAACCAGCAACAGTTGTTAAATTTCCACTCGATAATAGAACTCTTTTCACACTGCATCGATCGACAAGATAAACTGCAGAATTATCTGGAGCCACGTGGACACTCATTGGAGAAATAAGTTCCCAAGCAGTTGCTGCACTATTTTCATCTCTTAATGAACCTCCTCTTGCAAAGGTGGTGATGATTCAAGTGATGAAATCAATTTTTCTAATTCTGTTACTGTAAGGATCTGCAATGTAAAGTTCATTGCCAGAGGAAGAAACAGAGATGCTATTAGGTTCTCTGAAGAGCGCATTTTGTGCATTTCCCATGTCACCACTCGCTGGATCGTTTGCAAATGTTCCATTTCCAGAAATGGTTGTGATCATGCCCGAGGTTAAATTCACTTTTCGAATTCGAATGTTTTTGGAATCTGCAATGTACAGTTCATTCGTGGCCACACTCATCTCCACATCGGTAGGAGCTCCCAAAGATGCATCGACAACCAAGCCGCCATCTCCTGAGAAATTAAATTGTCCATTGCCAGCCACAGTGATCACAGTTCCAGTATTTCCATTAATTTTCTTAATTTTGTGATTGAGAGAATCTGCAAAGTAGATTTCATTAGTGGCTTCTGAAATGGTCATTCCTCTTGGAGTGTTGATTTGAGCCAAGGTTCCAGGAGTGACTCCATCGGCACCGCTGTCACCTACCACACCAGTTCCAACCACTGTCGAAATTTTGCCACTTGAGTCAATTTTACGAATTCGATGATGACGTGTGTCACAAATATAAATTTCCTTAGTCGTGGACGAAACGGCAATCCCATTTGGATAATTCAACATGGAATTCTGAGAATTTGTATTTCCTTCTCCAAAGGTTGAATCAGTTCCAGCAATGGTTGTAATCATTTGATTGCCAGCACTCACTTGTCGAATTCTGTGATTGAAAGTGTCAGCAATCAAAAGATCTCCATTCGATTGAATGAAAATTCCAGAAGGGTAATTTATGGAAGCACTTTTTGCAGGTCCTCCATCTCCACTGAAATTGGCCTTTCCATTTCCTGCAATGGTGTCAATTATTCTTCCATTTTTCAAATTCACGCTTCGAATTCGTTGATGTCCAAAGTCACTGACAAGGACACTTTGACCATCCAATGACAAGCTGACACCTAAAGGACTTGCCAAATTTGTCATATCTGCAGGTACCAAATCTCCATCAAATAACGCTTCTTGACCTCTTCCAGCTATTGTTGAAATGACATTGTTCGCAAAGGTCACTTTTCTTACTCTTCGATTACCATTGTCTGCAATATATAACTCAGAGACAGTTATTGCAAGTCCTATTGGAGAATTTAATTGGGCGTTTATCGCAAGTGAACCATCTCCTGAAAAACCTGACACACCACTGCCTACAATGGTGTCAATTAAGCCTGTAGCAATGGTTACCTTTCGAATGACATGGTTGTTAGTGTCAGCAATCAAAATGTCATCTTGTGCAGTGAGAGTCAAACCCATGGGTTTGTTTAAAGTACATGCAATTGCTAAATTTCCATCGCCATCGTATCCTTGGGTTCCATTTCCAGCAATTGTGTAAATCATACCATTTTGTGCAATTTTTCTAATTCTCATATTCAAAGTGTCTGCAATCAATAATTCGTTATTACTTGAAAAGGCAATTGAGCTTGGGCTATTTAAGGTAGCCAAATTTGCTGGTCCATCATCACCTGAATACTTAGCAATACCATTTCCACAAATTGTAGTGATGATCATGGTTGAGAGTGAAATTTTTCTAATTCTATGATATTCGTGTCGGCCACAAATAAATCTCCATTTATGGAAACTGAAACGCTTGAAGGAGAATTTAACATGGAGGTATTGGCCAAAATGTTATCTCCATTGAAACCAGCATGTCCAGTACCTGCGATAGTAGAGATTAGACCTTGTCGATCAATCTTTCTGATGAGATGGTTTCCTTGATCACACAAATAAATGTCACTCTTAGTTGAAAGCAATGGATGAAGGTGAAGAGAGAGTGGCCAATGTTGCCAATAGATTATCACCATTGTATCCTTTGTCATTCAAAACACCTGCAATGGTTTGAATGATTGGATTTTGTGGGTTTGACATGTCAATTTTTCTTAAAAGGTTCATACTGCCATCTGTCACGTAAAGATTTTGTGATACGACTGCCAATCCAGAGACAAGTCCCAAACTAGCCAAGAGAGGTGAATAGCCATCGCCAGCTCGAAATCCACCTCCAATATCTGTAATGTTATAGGTTGAAGCCACTCCTGTCAGTAGTCCAATCGCTGATATCTGTTGCGATTTTGATGCCATCAAAACACACAACAACAACACAACCATCAATGGTAGCATCCACACGCGGCCATGATGAAATTCGAAAAGTGGTGGAGTCATAGGATTTTTGCGTTTCTTTTTTTCAAAGAAGGTGTGAAATGAATTTCAATGATTAATTTGGAAAGTATGAGAGTGCACAAAAGAGAAGTCACTTCCAATTTCTCGGGTTTGGGTAGTTTTGGTCTCTACGTTTGGGATGAAAAAACTCTTTCTGAAAGACTCTTCGATGAGTTGGAACAAGAAATTGCCATTGTCATGATTGACACACATCATCGTTTCAAGTTGAGTTTGGAATTCCAAAAACAAATGAAAATTCATAATATTCAAAACAAGTTGAAACAAACCAAGGGAGGAGTGTCAAGTTCAAATAACAACAACAATCCTCCTTCTTCGAATGGAGTGGTCCAAACATCAATAATAAACTCATTGTGAAATCATTCTTTTTGTCAAGTGACAAAATCGTTATTTATTGCTGAAATGAAACCATAAAAATGTCGCAATCATCCACCCAACCACTCAGTTCAGAAGGTGTCAAAATTTCCAACACGACTGTCAAGCTCACGGATGTGAAAGAAGACGACGTCGTGGTTTGCTCCTCCTCCTCCTCC